ATTTGAGTTGAATCTGAAAGCAGGTTAGTGACTCGTGTAATGGTTGAGAGAGAAGGTGATGAGTAAATAAAGACATGGGCATCTGCTGCTGCCCTTCATTGTCTTCATCCTTATATCAGCATGGTGCCCTAGACCTAAAATAGTCACTCTTATAAGTACTCTTAATGCTCAGATCTTGACTTCTAAAATACCATTTTCCACTAAAAGGAATCAGGGCTCCTGGAATTCCAGGACTGGATCAGGAAAAATGTGAATCAAGCCTGGACCATCTTGTAGTGTCAGAAAATAAGAATGTGTTCAAAAAATTAAGGGGCCATGCAAGGATACAAGAGGAGTTCCAATGACTAACTCTGGAACAATTTTAATAAGGAAAATTATAGTAATAAATTATAACTCATACCATGAGTCCAAGCAGAAATGAATAAACAAACAGAAGGGGCAGCTCTTCCATTTAGAATTCTATTAACAAGTGTAAAAAGATGAAAACCACAATTAGAAATACCATGGTCATAAAGATTTCAAGAAAGGATCATAAATGGATGATAGAACTTGTGGGCAAAATGTGGTGAAAATTAAGATATTTAAATATTCTCAAGGTATTGTGCTATAACATACTTAATCCATTATCAAGGGGAAAGTAGTAACTTCACAGTGAAGAAATCTAGTACTAAAAAAAAAATCCTAAAATTCAAATTGAAGCAAAAAAGATTCTGAATAGTCAAAATAATCCTGAGCAAAAAGAATAATGCTGGAATTATCACAACACCTAATTTTAAAATATACCTCAGAGCCGGAATAATAACAAAATAACAGTATGGTACTGCCCATAAAAACACAAAACTCAACTAAAAGTGGATCAAAGAGCTAGGTATTGGCTCAGACCCTGCAAATGCTAGAAGAAGAAGAAAAAACAAACAAACAAACAAACGGTAGACTCAACACTCCAACATGTCAGCTCAGGAACTTTAACAAGAATCCTAAAGTGCAAGAGGTAAAACCAAAAATCAATAAGTGAAATGGCATCAAATTAAAAAGCTTGTGCACAGCAAAGGAAACAATTAAGACTATGAAGATATCCAAGTGCCACTGGCACATGCCTATAATTCCAGTGGCTTAGGAGGCTGAGACAGGAAGATCGTGAGTTCAAAGCCAGCTTCAGCAAAAGCGAGGCACTAAGCAACTCAGTGAGACACTATCTCTAAATAAAATACAAAACAGGGTTGGGGATGTGGCTCAATAGTCAAGTGCCCCTGGTACCCAATTTAAAAAAAAAAAAAAATGAAGACTAGGTCGATAGAATGGGAGAAAATCTTTGTCACCTTCTCCTTAGAGCTTTAATCTCCAGGATATATAAAGAACCCAAAAAACTTAACACCAAAAGACAAATAACCCAATCAATAAATGGGCAAAAGAATTAAACAGGAACTTTTCAAAAGAAGAAATACAAGTGGTCAATACATGAAAATGTTCAACATCTCTACAAATTAGAGAAATGCAAACTAAAACTACATTGAGATTTCATCTCACTTCAGTCAGAATGGCAATTATCAAGACAAATAACAATAAATGTTGGCGAGGATGTGGGCAAATAGGTATACTCATACATTGCTGGTGAAACTGCAAATTGGTGCAACCATTCTGGAAAGCACTATGGAGCTTCCTCAAAAAGCTAGGAATGAGGGCTGGGGCTGTAGCTCAGTGGTAGAGTGCCTGCCTCACACGTGTGAGGCACTGGGTTCGAGCCTCACATCACATAAAAATAAATAAAGATGTTGTGTCCGTCTACAACTAAAGAAAAAAATAAGGCTAGAAATGATCCAGCTATTCCATTCCTTGGTATATATCCAAAGGACTTAAAATTAGCATACTACAGCAACACAGCCACATTAATGTTTATAGCATACAATTCATAATAGCCAAACTATGGAACCAACCTAGGTGCCCTTCAACAGATAAATGGAAAAAGAAAATGTGGTATATATACACAATGTAATATTACTTAGCCATAAAGAATGACTTTATGGCATTTGCCAAGGAAATGGATGGAACTGTAGACTATCATGCTAAGTGAAATGAGTCAGTCCCAAAAAGTCAAAGGTAAAATGTTTTCTCTGATATGTGAAAGCAAATAAAAAGTAAGGAGGGTAGATGAAAAAAGAATAGAAGAAAGATTGGTGGACTAGACAATGGGGAATTAGGCAAAGAGAGGAGGGATGGGATAGGGCAAGACAGTAGATCAATTCTAACCTAATTTTCCTATGTATATATACAAATATACCACAGTGAATCTCACCATCATGTACATCTACAAGACAGTAATTAAAAAAAACAAAAAACCTAAGTAAATAGCAGGAACATCAGTAAAGTAGAGGGAAACGAAGGGCGGGGGGAGAGGAAGAGGGAAGGGAAAGGGGAGTACTGGGGATTAAATTAGAAGAAATCATATTCCATGCCTTTATAATTATATCAAAATGAATACTATTATCATGTATAACTAGGAAGAACCAATAAAAAATAAAAGTTGAATCTATTTTTACTTGGCAACAAACCCCAGACAGACATGTAGGCCAATGTAATAGAAGAGAGATCACAGGTAAATCCTGAGGGCTCCAGGTATGTGATTCTTGACAAACATGCCAAAAATGTACATTGGAAGAAATGTAGCCTCTTTTGCAAATGGTGCTGGGAAAACTAGATAGCCATATGTAAAAGGCTGAAACTAGATCCCTGTGTCTCACCCTATATAAAAATCAGCTAAAATCCAGCACAGCGGCACATGCCCGTAATCCCAGAGACTCAAGAGGCCAAGACAGGAGGATAGAAAATTCAAGTTCAGCCTCAGCAACTTAGTGAGGTCCAAGTTCTCAAAAACTTAAAACGGATCTTTTCCTCAAAAAGACCTAAAGGGGACTGGGGATGTGGCTCAAACGGTAGAGCGCTCTCCTGGCATGTGTGGGGCGCTGGGTTCGATCCTCAGCACCACATAAAAATAAAAATGTTGTGTCCACCGAAAACTAAAAAATAAATATTAAAAAATTCTCTCTCTTTAAAAAAAGAAAAGAAAAAAGACCTAAAGGTAAGGTCTGAAACTTTAAAACTGTTAAAAGAAAACAGGGGAAACATTTCAAGACATATGCACAGGGAGTGACTTCCTTTATAGGACTCCAAAAATCTGGAAGTAATAGCAAGAATTGACAAAGGGAGCTGCCAACAAATTAAAAACCTTCTGCACAGCAAAGGAAACAGCAGAGGGAAGAAATAGGCTACAGACTGGAAGAAAACCTTTGCCAGTCAATGAAACAAAGGATCAATACCCAGAATATATGAAGAACTCAAAAAACTTAACACCAATAAAAAAAAAAAAAAAACAACCTAATCAATAAGTGGGCAAATGAACTAAAGAGATACTTTTTACAAAAAGAAGCACACAAGGCCAATATTACATGAAAATGTTCAATATCTTTAGTCATCAGGAAAAGGTAAATCAAAACTACATTGAACCAGGGATAGTGATGAACATACATGTCTGTGAACCCAAAAATTAGGGAGGCTGAGGCAGGAGGATCACAAGTTTGTGGCCAGCCTCAGTAGTCTCAAAATAAAAAATAAAAAGGACTCAGGATGTAACTCAGTGGTAAAGCACCCTAGTTCAATTCTCAGTACCAAATAAAACAAATACCAACAAACAATAAAAACAAAAAACTATACTGAGAGCCCATCTCACCGATGTCAGAATGGCTACTATCAAGAATACAAAAAAAAAAAAAAAAATGCTGTCAAAAATGTGGGGGAATGGAATCCTTTTATACTGTTGGTGGGAATGTAAATTGCCACTATGGAAATCAGTACAGAGGTTCCTCACAAAACTAAAAATAAAACTACCATGTGATCTAGGAATACAACTCCTTATTATATACATGAAGAAATTAAAGTCAATATATTATAGAGATAATTGCATTCTGATGTTTATCACAGCAAAATTCACAATAGTGAATGTATGGAATCAGCAGGGTTTTTTTAAAATATATTTTTAGTTTTAGGTGGGCACAATGTCTTTATTTTATCTTTATGTGGTGCTGAGGATCGAACCCAGAGCCTCACACATGCGAGGCGAGTACTCTACCACTGAGCCATAACGCCAGCCCTGGAATCAGCAGTTTTTATGAATAGATAAATGATAAGGAAAACTTTGTATATATACATAGTGGAGTATTATTCAGCCATAAAGAATGAAATCATGTCATTTTCAGGAAAATAGATGGAACTGGAGATCATAACATTAAGCCAAACTCAGAATGATAAATGTCATCTGTTTTCCCCCATGTTTCCCCATTTGTTTTCCCCCATTCTAGGGGAAAAAAATGACATGAAAGTAGCAAACAGACTCTTAAAGAAGAGGAAGCGGATGGGAGGATAGAGGAAGGGAGGAAAAAAGAAGGATAAAAGCAGGGAGTAGATATGACGAAGCTATGTTAAATGCAAATAGGAATATGCCATATTGACCCTTTTTTTCTGAGTATTAAAATGCACTAATTATTTTTTAAAGGACCATAAAACTTTTAAGGAACTGTACACAGAAGTATATTCATCATAATCTGAACATCTTGATTTAAATGTCTGAGTTCAAATCCAGTTCATATTTAACATCTCATTTGCTTTCCAATGAAGTCAAATTTAAAGAAAAAAACATTTTATTTTCCTGTAAGTGATAACTACATTTGGTTTTCATCAGTCTGGAGCAAACAGCCTTTAAATAAACCAAATAAAAGAAATGTATATGATATAGATTCCTTATTAAGTTAAAATAAATGACAGCATAAATGTATGTGTATACATGTGGGAAGTATGTATGTATGTATGTGGGAAGGTGGGGGATGTATTCTGGAAGATACAATGAATCATGCATAGCCTATTTATATAACAAAAGTCATAAAACTTTTTTTATCAATAGAATCCCTTGAAAGTCACTATTAGATGACGTAAAAACTTTTATCCAAAGATTTAGCTCTTTTAATGACCTTCTTTTATTTATGATTCTCTCTCAAAATATAAGTTGTATATTTTTTGAATCTGTAAACATCAGACTTTCAGCCCTAATACTACAGTCCTCAGAAACAATTCATTTCTTCAGCTCTTCGTGCACACCTGGGCTGGTGGCAGCATTAGCAGCAGGCACTGTGTGTTCCTGTACCATGGATCTCACAGCATGCGCTGCATAGTTAAGGCTGGTATTTTTGTTCCAATGCCAGTAACCTGAGAAGGGGTTATACAGCATTCCTGCCACAGTTTGAACTGACAGACCATCTGAAAAAAATATAAAAAATGTAGGTTTAATAAATACCTTCCAACTGCCAATAATCTCCTTTCACTCTTCATATTAACAAAGGATTTTCAATGTAATGGGCAAAAAATACTTTGTAACCATGTACAGATGATAGTTCACTGTAGACTACTAAACATTCTCTAAAGTATACTGCCTGAGTTTAAATCCCAGCTCTGGTACCTAGTATATGGTGACTACAGGCAAGTCACTTTCCTTTCTGAATCAGTTTTCTCACATGTACCGAACATTTACCATAGCATTGTTAGAAATGGAAGAGAGATGTGCATAAAGAAGCAGAGGGTTGGAATTTAGTAAGTATTCAATAAATATTAGCTGTTACAGAAAATATCTTCATCAGATTATTCCCATAAAGCTTCTGCAAAATATTTTTTTCTACTTGATTTTCAACAAAAGTACTCACAGAACTTACTACATTCCTAGGGACTGATAATATTCCAAGTAGAATCAATTTTATTGATATGATGTTTTATGAATAAAAAGTATGAGAAAGAAGGAATTGAAATACTCAACAATACCAAATGCCAACCAGATGTGGTGGCACATGACTATAATCCCAGCAATTTGGGAGGCTGAGACAGGAGGATTACAAGTTTGAGGCCAGCCTCAGAAACTTAGCAAGACTCTCAGCAACTTGGTGAGATGATGTCTCGAAATAAAAGATAAAAAGGACTGGGGCTATAGCTCAGTGGTAAAGTGCCCCTAAGTACAATTCCGAGTACAGGAAAAAAAAAAAGTCAAATAAATGAATGGAGAAATACGAATTACTTAACAGGAATTCAACACATTGAGTGTTCCCTATATGTAAAGCAAGAACAAGATACTATAAGAAATACAAAAAGGAGATATAATCTTGCCTTTAAGGAATACACAGGCCAGAAAAAGGTGAAAAATAATAATAATATAAGTAGATTATAAGTAATGTAAAACATTAAAAGTGACATGAAGTTCAAAATACATCTAAGTGTAGAAGAATCAGGAAAAATAGATAAGATTAGCCAGTAAACGCAGGGCTTGGTAGGGCAAACTGGGGTGTAATATTTAGTCCTCATTTGCTTAAGGATGAGGTACAAACATCTCACCCTTAAACAAACGAGGACTAAATAGCCAGAAAGTATCATTAATCATCTATTATTTGCTTGGCCCTGGGTTAGATGCCACAGGTGATAAAAAAGTAGTATCTACTTAATTCTAACTTCAAAAAGTTGATGACATAGTTGAGATAAAACCAACATCCAAAAATAATAACCTGTTTAATTAAGTGCTAGATTATGTGATTAATAATTATAAGTACATTTTAAAGTCTCAGTTAGGCTGTGAAAATTGGAAAAAAAAAATAATACTTACTTGATTCCAGAATGCTTTCTAGCATTTCAGGTGAAACAAACTTCTCCCATATATGAGTACCCTTTGGTACAATACCTGCAACCTGCTCTGAAAAAACAATTCCCAAAGCATATGACAGTTGTGTTTTGTTGATTGTAGTAATGAACAAAGAACCGCCAGGCTAAAAGAAGCAAAATTATGTAAGGATAAAATTGTACTGAAGTAAAATGTAAAAGGTTAGGAGTATCAGTTAGGTAAAAGCTTTTCCTTCCTTCAAGAATTTAAGTGCAGTTAAGATACATGAGTATAAATAAAATATAATTTACCAAAATACTATTTTTTCTATTGGGAAATCTACTACTTGAGGCAATCCACTCAGATTCACCGAATCTATACAATAGGGTTTATAACTCTTAAAAATCATACATTACTGACATATTATTTTACATATATTCTTTTGTACACATCAAATACTTTAAAATAAAATACAGAAATAAGATGTTCTTCTTTGTTACAAGTTCACATTTACATTCTAACATGTCACCACTGCTTCCTCTTGGGTGCCAAGTCTGTCTAAGTTTTTTGGTACAGCACAAAGCTACACATCTTATGCATGGGTACATTGCCAGTAAGTGTCTTCAGTTCAAAACATTCAAATGGTAAGGTTTGAACATTCAAATATTAAAGTTTGAATGGTTTTTTTTTTTTTTTGGTTTGTTTTGGCATTGATTTCATTTGTACAAAGATTATGAACAGATCAAGATAAGCACTTAGATGAATACAAAGCAATTATGGGTTATTTAGTCTCCCCTTTTTTTTAACTACATTTATGGTGTTTCTATGTTTAGTATCACAAACAGCAAGGACATTAATGTTCTCTCCCTCTTTTATGCTTTCTTATTAGTGTGATAAGGATAAGATGCCAAAGATTCCTTTCAAAATAATCTTTCTGTATATATGGGACCGGGGGTGGGCAGGGAAGAGATAATATATCTCAAATACCACCCCAAACCAAAAATAAAAAGGATCAGGCCCTGAAATATCAGTGTGTGCTTTTAAACACTGGAATACCTCATACTATATTGTCATGTTAACTTTTCTCTGTAAAACTTTAGCATCTTAAGAATCATGCTGGGTTCAATAGTGCACACCCGTAATCCCAGCAACTGAGACAGGAAAATTGCAAGTTGGAAGACAGCCTCAGCAATTTAGGGTTACCCTGTCTCAAAATAAAAAATAAAAAGAACTGGAATGTGCCTCAGTGGTAAAACATCCCTTAGTTAAGTCCCCAGCTTTAAAAAAAAAAAAAAAAAAGACTCATATATGGACTTAGGGCGGGTGGAGGAGGTAGCTCAGTAGCAGAGCATGCCCCTAGATTTAATCCTCAGTACCACCAAAAGAGAATTTTAAACTTTTTAAAAATTAAGGTTTTTAATTGAAAAATAGGGAATAAGCCTCATAAAATTCCATGTAAGAGAAAACACCAAGAAACTGACAGATTGAAGAAGAGTTAGGAAACATGGCAACTAAATGCAATGCAGGAACCTTAATAGGATCCATAACAGAAAAATGACATTAGTGGAACAACTAATGAAATTTAACAAGCTCTATTGTGCAGTTAATAAGCATAATGCCAATGTTCATGGCTTATTTATGTGCCAGGAGTTATGTGCAGGTACAGAACTATGGCGAGGCAAGTGAGGCTCTAGGGCACAGAACTGAAACAGGCAGTCCCTTCCAGGGTGCAGTGCAGTGCAGGGCTGGCACCTAATAGCTGCCTCCTTCAATTTTATACCCTAGGCCCTTCATTTGATTAACCCTAGTTCTTACCCTTATGATGTGAGTCTTTAATGTAAAGTGAAAATAGTGGAAGAGAACTCTGTATTCTCTTCGCAATTCTTCTATAAATCTAAACTTACTTCAAAAAAAAATTTTTTTTTTTAAAAAAAGCTCTACTTGGACATGGGATAAGTATTTCATTCCTTTAGCTTTTGGCCTTAAGGTGTTACATCTTAAATACGTAAACAATACAGTCAAAACCTTAATAATAATAGCACATTAAAGATATTAAGCTGAGCATAGTGGTACAGGCTTGTAATTCCAGCAACTAGGGAGGCTAAGGAAGGAGTAAGTTCAAGGCCAGCCTAAGCGACTTAGTGAGGCTCTCAGTAATTTAAAGAAACTCTGTTTCAAAATGAAAAATAAAAAGGGCTGGGGATGCTTGCTCAGTGGAAGCAACTAGTACTCCTGGGTTTAATCCCCAATACCTGCCCCCAAAATTATCTTTTAAAAAATTAAATAAATTATTTTAAACATATATATATATATATACACATACATACACACACACACACACACACACACACACACACACATATATATATATGTATGTATATAAAATTGGAACCACATTTGGAGGACTAAATTTGTGGAAAATTATATAAGCATAATGAGAAGAACCAGATTTGGAATCATAAGATCTAGCCTTAAACCCCACCTAACAGTTTTGACATCTCACCAGTTCCCAGTCCTCAAAAGTCAAAAGATGATAACTCCCATCTTTCCTTCCTCATCTGGCTGTAGATAAGATCAAGCAAGATAATATGTATAAAGTGATCCTTTCATAAACTAAAAACACAGATTTACTTAACAAATGCTATTTAAGTAAACTTATGCTAATCATTGTTTTTGTTGATTTGTAAGTATTAATCCAAATCAGTTTCTTGGTAAATTATCATATGATAGCTATTAAGTATTTAATCCAGACTATAATCTAGATCAATAGAAAAATACCACTATAAATGTGTTTGTTATTTTTCCAGTGTTTAGCACCAATATTTTTCAAGATCCCTGACATCACTAAACTAATAGAACACTAGAAAACCCCATATTAAGGGCAATCTGAGGGGCAGAAGTAATTACCAGCACAGAGGCTATCCCCTAATCCTGGATTCTTGGTTTCTTCTCTCTTATAGTTTATCTGCTAGACTGTTAAAGTATTATCGAACATATTAACGGTATGGATATACACATGCACTCACAAGAGAAAGCAAACAAGTGATTTTGAAAGTCTTACTTTTAACACTTGACAGCAGCACTGTATAAATGTTTCTAGATCATTCACATGTTCTATAACTTCAGAAGCTATAACAGCATCAAAAGTTTCTGCCTTCTCTTCCACAATTTCTTCCAGAGAACATACTCTGTACTCTATCCTCTTATCCAGGACTGGATCAAATGATTTATGGTGCTGTGCTGTTTTAATATTTTCATCCACAGGATCTATTCCAACAACTGAAGCACCTAATCGCCCTAGAGGCTAATGGCATAAGAAAGTTACTCTCAGGAAGAAAAAGAACACATGTTAGCAATAAAAAACTTACCAAAAATGAATTGAGATTAACCACAAAGTGATAATTACTGAAGATCATTTTTGTGTATGGGTTCATATACTATTTTCTTTAGTTCGTATACAGTTGAAATTTTCCATAATAAAAAGCTTAAAAGTGAGAACAACAATCAAAATGTACATTTACATAAATGTAGGACAGTGTTAAATATCTGAAATGCAATAAATGTAACACGCCATGGTAAAAACAGCTATTGTTTCTAGTAACCAATTTCTTCTTTATAGTTTTTTCCTGTGACTGACCAGATTTGATTTTGTATGCATGAATATGTGGTATTAGGGGTCAAACCCAGGGTCTTATGCACATAAGCACCCCTCTACCACTGAGCTACATCCCAAGCCCTAGAAATAATTCATAGCTAATTATTTGTTCATCTTTTACATCTGGATACTTCCCATGACATTCCCTAATATTTAAATACAGTCTTAATTTTAATCAAAACTTATACAGTGTTTCTATTAAACAAGGTTAGTCAATAAGCTTAAGTATGACCCATCATCTTAACTTTAGAGACATAATTTCTGCAACAATACACTGAACAGATGGCAGAACACATAGTAAAATCTTATTCATTTATAATTTGTACACCACATATCCTTAATTCACATATTTTAGGCTTTCTGAACTTTTATAATTGATGTAAAAAGAAACTAGCCCACTTCCAGGTCAGGAGCAGGTTTTCTGTGCATGTAGGAACTTAATTGCATATCAAGGACTGTTAGTCACACTATAAACTTGGTTGAGTTATGGACCTCAACACTATCACATTCCATTGAATCTTAAGACTTTTATATCCCCTACTGTTGTTTAAAATATTTCAAAGATCAAATAACAAAAAGTCCCCATGTTGACAGAATACAATATAGCTGCAAGGCGTAAATTTACTATAAACTAAAGCATATATTCTTCAAAGGAAGGATGACTACTCTTTGAAGTACTCTACAGCATCTAAGAAAGAAAGAATCCTACAAGTAGGTAAAATGCTGATAGCTTTGTTATTAAAACAAGTACAAAAGGACAACCTATCATTGCATTTAAATCAATAGAAACTATCTAATTTCTTAGGACAGAAGAGATCACACAAAGGTATTTGAATTACCTATGCCCCATTTTTTATTAAAAATTACCACTACCACAACTAATAACAAAAAGTTCAGTACAATTTTCTGAGACTTTTAGTTTTTAAAAAATTTCAAAAGGCATGAATTACTTTTATAATCATGAAAATATTAAACAAGCATTTAAAAAATTAATAACACTATTCGTAAAAAGGATAAATGATGCAACAAGCCCATTTCTCAATTTTTTTCCCAGCTAAAAATGGCAGAAAAGTCAGTCACTTACTTCAGCTAATAATCCACCACCACAGCCAACATCAAGAATCTTCATCCCAGACAAAGGTTTTCCTAGTTGGTGATTAGCAACTGTTTTCAAAAGATTGTCTCTTTTTAAAAAAATTCAAAATATATAAAAATAAATGATCAATTCAATCAACAAAAAGTCTTAAAAGCATACAGTTTTCAAGGAAATGTTAATTCCCATTTTTAATAGGTTATTAACTTTGGATAAATAGATCTTTTATTTTCAGCATTAGATGACTTTTAATTTACAAAATATTCTAGAGAGAAAAAAGGAAAAGAAAGGTGAAGTGGGGCAGGGATCTTATGAAAATCCAAGTGAAATCAGTAGATGAAAGGGTCTGGAGGGTGGGAGGAGGGGAGGGAGGGGGGAAGTGCTGGGAAGTGATACTGACCAAATTATATGGTTATATTATGCGCATGTACAAATATGTAACAACATTTCCCACCATATGTACAACTATAATGTACCAATTAAAAAGTGGAAAGAAAAAAAATTTATAAAACATTTTCAATAATCAAAAGTAGAAAGTTTAGAGCAAAGCTCTAAAACAGAATCTAGTAGTAATTATGACTTAATTATTGCTTCAGTGATAATCTAAAGAAAAATAATCTAAATTGCTTTGATTAACCTAATTTTATTAAAACACTTTAATTAAACTGACTCAACAGAACAGATACAAATGCAAGGCACCTACTACATCATCAGTACTTGTTAGACCTTTATCAGCAAATAGGTTATTTCACAGGAATTTTATTCAAATATTTATTGAATCAAACTGTAGCAACAGGATGGGATACAAATATGTCTATTGGCTATATCATCAGTACTTGCTAGACCACTTTAGGTCAGCAATTTAGGTTATTTTATAGGACTTAAAGGAGAAGATAAGAGGGCTGGAATTGTGGCTCAGTGGTAGAGTGCTTGCCTAGCTTGTGTAAGGCACTGAGTTCAATTCTTAGTACCACATATAAATAAATGAATAAAATTAAGGTTCATCAACAGCTAAAAATATTTTTTAAAAAGGAGAAGAGATCTATATTTACAAAAGCTGTCCATATTCCCTTCCTAATTCTTCTTTTTTTTTTTTTAGTCATAGATGGACACAATACCTTTATTTTATTTATTTTTATGTGGGACTGAAGATCGACCCTAGTGCCTCCATGTGCTGCTACACAGGTACTCTACCACTGAGTTACAAGCCGAGCCCTTTTTGGTGTGTGTGGAGGGGGAGGGTGGTACCAAGGATTGAACCCAGGGGTACTTAACTACTGAGCGACATCTGCAGTCCATTTTATTTTTGAGATAGGATGACTAAATTTGTTCAGGGCCTCGCTAAGTTGCTGATTCTGGCTTTTAACTTGCTATCCTCTAGTATCAACCTCCTGAGCCACTGGGATTATAGGTATGTACCACATGACTGGCTTCAATTTTCTTTTAATCTTCTAAATTAGTTGTATTCTCATGTATGAACAAGTAGGATGATATCTAATAAAGCAAACTTATTTCTAAGATGATCATAGTAATCCTTTACCACACACACAAACATATGTACATGTGCATGTACACATGGTAGATATATACCTAATGGTAATGTAAAGTGAACTTTTAAGTCAGACTGCATATGAATTATAATTATATTTATATTAAAATATATATTACATATAATAAAGATCTTTGGCTATCCTATATTGCTAATAAAATTAATTGAATTCTTAGAATGACATGTATAATTCTTAGAATGACATGTATAATTCTTAGAATGACATGTATAATGACATTCTTATAATGATATGTATAATGTATAATGATAATGTATAATATTACTTTAAAATATTATAATACACATAAAGTACTCAATTCAAATGAAGTCCAATCCATTTTTCAACAGTCGAAATGACTCCTCTGTATCAAAATTTGTATCACATCACTCTCTTCTGATGGCTTTTAGTTGTGCTGAAAATAAAATCTAAACTTGTAACCATATCTTGCACTGCTCTAGATGATTTGTTTTTATTTGATGTCTAAATAAAGATGTCACAATAGTTTGAATAGACATCTCAAACTTTGTATGCATCAGAATCACTTGGAAGGTTTGCTGAAACATAGACTGCTAATATCCTAGAACAGCAGGTCCAGGATGAGACCTGAGAATATGCATTTCTAATGAGTTCCTGGGTGACACTGATGCTTGCTGGTCTAGGGCCTGCATTTTGAGAACCAGTCATCAACAGTTCTGTTATTTTCTACCTTAGTTCAGTGATCCACAAATTCAGTGATAATATTTCCCTTTTTTCTGCACTGATTCTGGATGACAAGCAAAAACTAATCAGAGAGTTCCTTTAGAATCTGAGTGTGATATTATATGACAATTTCAGGGTCTTACCCTTATGAGTTGTTCAAAAGTGTTTAATGAACAAATAAGTGGAGAGAAGATCAAATAAACTATTTCTTAAATGCAATCCCTGATGGTCTCTGGCCTTGCTTTATCTCCCACAGCAAATATGGACTGAAGCACATTCATGAACTGAAAGCCACAGCAGGTCAGTAGCTATAAAATGGCCTTGATGACCTAGGACCTGAACTCCCTTTTATAAGAACTAATTCTAATTAACTCATATGTCCAAATATGCTCCAAATTGAGTTATGGAAGCATCCTAGATCTTAGATAATGTTAATATAATAAAATAATAATGTTAATGATAATAAAAAATTAATGATTTCACATAGTGGACACTAAAGAGAATGTCCCTAATTTAAAATTTAGAATTTTGAACCTAAGTATAAACCAAGAGAAAAATGAATCCAAAACAAATGAATCTTAAAACGAGTTGCATTTTTAAAGATGTGGAGTTTCTGTTACCTAATAAATGGCACCCTCAGGTCGTTCATAGAATGAAGAGGAGCATATACTCCTTGTTCATCCCACCACTTATGAGCCAGGGCCCGGAAGGTTTTTACCTCACTGCTGTCAACTGTGGACTGTGAAGTACTATACAGTCTTTTCCAAGGGGACCTAAGAGGTGAAAACAAAGAGCCAGGCAAATAGTGCTATTTTTCAAAAATGTAATATGGGATAAACTGTGTAGAAAGATATTTTATTTATAATTTGTTACATTCTAAATACAAAGATTGCTCAATTTTAATGCTTTAAAACCAAGTTTTGTTATAATTGCACTATTCATATATATATTCACTTTTGCTTTCAAAGTAAATTACAACTAAAAACGGAACTTCATAAAACTTGGCCTTCTGGGTCACATCTAATAAAAAGCTACATTTATAGAACCTTTACTAATGCCAAGTACATGTCATCTCACTTCTTCAGACAACTCTACAAGGAAGGTACTATGATTATTCCCATTTTACAGATTAGAAAAGAAAGGCTCAGAAAGATTAAGTAAGAGGTGAAGCCAGGATTTGAACCCAGGTGCCTCCACCTTATTACTCCATTTCTACTGCTATCATCGAGTCCAAGCTCCCATCATCTCTGAACTATTGTCCCAGCCCTTTAATCAGTCTGGCTACTCCCTACCTCATCCCCTTACGATCTGTTCTCCATGATGCATACAGATTAATTACTCCAAAATATTAATCTGATTATGGTATTTTTTCATGTAAAATGTTTCTATGGCTTCCCAGTATCATTAGGCAAAAGATTAAAATCCTTAGCATGGTTTATAATGCTCAAAATTTTTGGTCACCCGTTTGCTCCCTCTCCAAATTCATCTCCTGTAATTCTCTTCATCCTCTCTAGTCACACAGGCCTTTTTTCAGTTCTTTGAACTGGCTATGTTTGCTCTTTCATCAGGCACTTTGCATATATTGTTCCCTCTGCCTAGAATTTTCTTCCCACATCCCTGTTTTCCTCCTCATTCATCAGCTCTCTCTTTTTTTATATATATTTATTTGTTAGGTATAGTTGGACATAATACCTTTATTTTATTTATTTATTTTTATGTGGTGCTAAGGATCGAACCCAGGGCCTCGCACATGCTAGGTGAGCACTCTACCACTGAGCTACAACTCCAGCCCCTCATCAGTTCTTAGTTTAAATGAAATGTCATCTATGAAGTCTTCCTTAATCCTCAAAATTGGGTCAAGTATCCTTATTTTATCTCCTATATCACTTCCTCCTGTGGTTGTATAATTATTTGGTCATGCCTGTCTCCCCACTAGACCATAAGCACTATGAAAGGCCAGCATGAACTGTCTCGATTACCATTATATTCTTAGTGATTAGTACAGTTCCTAGAACATAGTTGATGCTCAGGAGACATTTGTCAAATAATCGAAGGAAAAGGCCTAGAAAAGTATATCATTCACCTAACATTTTTAATCACATAAGATCAAACAGGGACTAAACAGAAATTAGACAGATACTACACTGAGTTCGAAGTCACAGTAGAGTACAGAAAAGTACTCCAAAGTTCTGCTTGTGTTGCTAAGTTAGAAAGGTAATACCCATCAGTTTGTACTGCTTTTCTTAGCTACATATAGAGAATACATTCTAGATTCATTCATTCATTCATTCTTCTTTTTTTAAAGATTCAAATGCCACTTTTCTTTAATATTATCTTAGGAATATTGATTTCCTTTTCCATATTGAATGCATAGTCTTAGTAATCAAGAACTAATTAACCACGGATAACAGTGAGTTCAGTTGAATAAGAATGGCTTCACAGACACCCAATCTCAAAAGATCTCTTTTAAAAGAAATAGGACAATGCACTTGGAAATCAGAGTTCATCTGAAGCAATTATTTTTTACAAGGTTAGAAACTGGTTTATAAAATATAAATACAGAAAGTCATACTTTGACTCATTCTTACTACCTAAAATGTATACTTATCCACCTTGTCATATTTGTTTCTGATTTTTAAGCCCTGCATTTTTTTTCAAGTAATACAGTATTCTAGTAAATATAAAAGCTATCTCTGAATCTGGATGAAAGATATGCGTGGGCTATATATTTTAACTTTTCTATGAACTTGAAATTTTTCAAATCTAAAAGTTGTTAAAATATAAATTAGTTAAGAATATTTAAATAACAAAAGCTACTATAATCAAAATACATGAACAATTGCAAACTAAACAAGTTTATTAAAAGAATCAGTACTAAACTACTTTAACATATAATTATGTAAATATTTTCCAGAGTAAAAAATAAACTCACCTGTAATTTTTTATTCTATTCAAACAGGAAAAGGTCATCCTACAGGATTTGAACCACATGGTTTTGTATTCATTGAAAACCCATGGTTTAATTTGTAGAGTCCAAGTGGGCTGATTCTCTGAATAAAGTGGGGAAAAAAGTTAAATGTCTAGAGAAAAGCATTGCACAGTAAGAATCCCTGATATACATGTAACTGAAGAAATTCCATTTTATATGGTAATTTTATGTTACATTACAACTATTTTTTTTTCAATTACAAAGGAGTTTTTACTCAATTTTAGATTCTACTCAAAACAAACAAACAAAAAATAACAAAATAAAGGTCTTATTCTCTGAAATCTAATTCTATCCAGATATTTCTGAAATTATAATTAGCAAAAATAAGTAATGCATATGTAAAAGCTTCTCACGTCATTAGCTTTTGTAGTCACATTATGTTGCACAAAATGACAAAAAAATGATGTTCTCATATAAAATGTCACCTTTTAAAACAGGATAATATTAATTCTGAGGTGATTTGTCAAAACTAGTTCAAATTCTGTCAATTCCATGTTAGTGACATTAAATGAATTTTTACATATGCTCAACACTGTTTACACAGAGGAAAAAAGTGTGTGTGTTTGTGTGTGTAGCTAAAATAAACACTCACCCAATCTATACGTTCAAATTCACATAGGGACTTGTTTTATGAATCAGTTACTCGGCTGCAGAACGTTTAGGTGTTCAGTAAACATTTAGGCAAAAAAGACTTATAACAAAGACTATTAATAGAGACAAAGAGTGATATTATATCACGATAACAGGAACAGTCCACCAAGAAACCAAGAAGATAATACAATGTATATGTACAAAATAATGGAATTTCAAAACAAATAAAGCCAAAATTGACAGCATTGAAAGGAGAAATAAACAAATCCATAACTACACTGGAAGATTTCAACATCCCTCCTTTCGTAATTGGTAGAACCACTAGACAGAAAATAAGCAAGGATACAGAAGAATTAAACAATATCATCAACAAATAAAATATAATTGAAATTTATGAAACACCCAAACTACAAAACAGTATACATTTTTTCAAGCATGCACAAAGCATTTATAAATATAGACCATATCCTGGAACATAAAACAAATCTTAACAACTTTAAGAGATTTGAAATCATACAAAGTATGTTTTTGACTATAAAAGAATCAAACTCAAAATGTGTAACAGAAAGATAACATGAAAAGAGCAAAACACCTGAAATTTAACAAATGCATAAGTTAAAGACAAAATCTCAGGAAAATAAAAAAACAATGAACCAAATGAAAATCAATATATCATATATAAAATTCTGTAAATGTTTTTAAAGCAGTACTTGGGAAACTTATAGAACTAAAATATTCATATTAAAATGTTGTTCTCAAATCAACAATCAAGTTTTATAGTTAAAATTATGAAAAACAGAGCAAAATAAACCCAAAGTAAACAGAAAGGAGGAAATGATAAAAGTAGAAATCAATGACATTGAAAACAAAACAAAAAAAAACAGAGAGACAATAAATCAAACCTAAAGTTAACACACTGCAAGAATCAATAAAATTGATAAACCTCTAGCAAGACTGAATTAAAGGAATTAAAGAGGGTCTATCACTACAGACCTGGCAGAAATTTCAAGGATGATGATGTACTACAAACTACAGAAATTCCACAATTAGACAAAATGGACTAATTCCATGAAACAACCAAAAACAACCAAAACTCATGTCAGATGAAAGAGAGAACATGAAAAGTCATATGAACACCAAAGAAATTGAATTCATAGTTAAAATGCTTCTAAAATATAAATTTCCAGGCTAAGCTGGCTTCACTGGAAAGTTCCACTAAACACTTGAAGAAGAAATAAAGACCAATTCTACACAACATCTTCCTAAAATACAAGAGAGACATTTCTCAGAGACATTTCTCAGAAATTAAACTGTTCCTACTGTCTATATAGTAAATCCCAAGGAATCTTAAAGAAAAAAAAAAAAGGTACCTAATGTTATGGGCCAGGCTATATGGACAATGACCAAACAAGACTCCGTCTTACCCTGTGACTCCACATCATGTAAAAGCTGTTTCTTCTATGGGAAAGCCCAGCCTCTGTATCCATCAATAGTTGCTTAGCAAAGCATGTTTGGCAACACAAAATGGCCATTCTATTTTTTTAAAATATTTTTTTAGTTGTAGTTGGACACAAAACCTTTATTTTATTTATTCATTTTTATGTGGTCCTGAGGATCGAACCCAGCGCCCCACATGTGCTAGGCAAACACTCTACCACTGATCCACACAGCCCCAGCCCCACAAAATGGCAATTCTTATACAATGTAAAATCGTTCTCTCTTTGGTTCCCATTTTTCTTGGACAGTGTACCCTATCAGAGATTGATTGTCTAGATGTTAGTAACCATTCTTTAACTTGTACTCAACTAGGGATATTTTGACCCACTCCCCCTTGTGCTTATGATTTTAGATCTCATGACATTTGTTTTATGGTTTTGAATCACTGCAACAGCCAGTTATGATTAATATGGTTTTGGACTATAAAATGTGTACTCAAACCCCAGAAGGGGGTCAAAGGGTATAGACTTGATTTTTAGGCCATTCACAGCATAGTCCAAATCCACTACAGTGTTCTAAAGAAAGGGGGGACAGGGACAGTTGTACTTTTAGGCTTTTGTTCATGTTATTCCCTCTTTCACCAACTCTCTCTGGTCTACCTTTAAGATAGTTACCTTTAGCCAGGCATAGTACTACACAACTGTAATCTTAAGTGACTTGGGAGGCTTAGGCAAGAGAATCACAGTACCCCAGTACCATAAAACAAAACAAAAACAAAATGCCACCCTCTTTATGACTTTGGGTAGGTAAATGAAATACTATTAAATAATTATATAAACTATGATGCATAGATGAGGAAATATAAGGTATTTTTATAAAATTGTGCCTCACAGATTTTAATAGTACCTGCCCTCTGATACTCCTTGACCTTCCTCTTATCTCTATTTCTGGAAAATGAATCTATTACTCATCAGTATTGCTAGAATTCTCAAGAGCTTTAAAAATCACCTTATTACAACTGAGTATGTATTAATAAACAGAATATAACCAATTCCTTTCCTAATGTGAATCCTTGTATTTGAGATTTTAAATGAATGGGGATAACTTCACTTAATTAACTTGAAAGTCATTTATAGCAGACTCCACACTGTGAGTTAACAAAACAGGCAACAGACTTTTACCCTGACAACACTTTTTTTCCCCAGGAATCAATTCCTGTCTGGGTTGCTCTTAAGTTTGGAGCCCAAACTTGCCTCCATCTCAGCTGTGGAGTGTTTTTTTGTTTGTTTTGTTTTTTTAATTGATCACATTGCTCCTTTAATAATTTCCACTGTCCTCAGGATAAACAACCTCAAGAGACTTCATGAACTTGTCATGGCCTAAAAGGTCTCTTGTCTCACCTGCTGCCCTCCATTCACACACTGTTCAAGGAACACTTCGCAGTTTCCCACAAACCTTAGATTCTCAAGTTTGTCCTTTGGTGTCTCCAACTGCTTCTAACTATCCAATTCCTTCAAGACAGTTTCTATAAATACCTTGTTCAGAAAGTTTCCCTGATCCCAAATATAGATTCGATGCTCCTTCTATATTCACCCACCCCCAATTTGGAAATGACTTTATTCTTAATTTGATTATAAAAGACATGTTTATTGAAAAGTTTTTTGGGGAAAGTATATAATATATGATAAAATGATTGAAAAGCACCTACTCCACCACAGGCAATCACTGCCAAAATTAGACATATATTTCCAAGTTCATAACACACGCTGATTTGTATCTTAACATACTTAAAAGTATATCCTAATTATTTTCCATGTGAATACAAGTGGATTTATATTGTTTTTATTTGACTGTACTATTTTTCACTGTATGAGAATACCAACTAGTCAACTCTGTTTGTAGGCTATTAGATTTACCATTTTTTAATTCATTATATCCCGATCTTGGTTCTATTATTAATTTTTTTAAGAAGAGACTGTTTACGTATCATTTTTTAATTCCCGGGGCCCATTACAGTTCTTATTATACAGTATTCGTTAAATGAGTTTCATGTAAACGAAGAACTTAACTTTTTGGTTAATACTGGGAGTTCAATAATTTGACGGTCACATACAAGCACCAAATGCAGATAGTTATTTTCTTGATCCTAATTGTAAACAGTCTGTTGAATGAATCAACGAATCAAAAAAGTAATACAGCTGCCTTAAATTCTGGTAAAAGGGGCAAGACATGTGCAAACAAAACACTGCTACGAATACCTACGAAAGACCGACTGGTGTCTTTCAGACCCTTGCAAAAGAAAGAAAGCACGACCTTGAGGCTCCAGTAATCACAGAGTGGGTTGATGGCTCCTGGGGCCAGGAACTTAACCAGAATGAGACTAAGGTCGTTGGATACGTTGCGGCCGCCCGCTGGCTGCCCTCTCCCCGGACAGTACCACTAACCCCTTAGCTTTTTCTTGGCCTCTGCAAAAACGAGCACGATAACACGGTCCTGGAGTTGAACGCAGGGCAAAGTCAGAAGCCAAGCTACAGATTTTGCGTTGAACCAGCGCGGAGGCCAGCGACACCGCAATGTCCCGCCGCGCCTGCGCAGAACCGCCAGGCCCCACAGTGGGCTGCCTGAGGGACTTTAGCACATACTCACCCGCCCAGGAAATTAGGCGAAGACGCTCCGCCTGTATGCCCCGGCACCCAGACCCAAGCACTCTTAAAAAGCGACCCCCAAAGAAGTTCAGCTTCCAGCCTCCCCACATAGTGGCAAAGGGTCCCACTTCTTTTCCGGTTCCTCTCTCCGAAGATCCCCAACAGAAAGGTTCCGAGACCCACTCGCGCCATCTACTGCCGACTTCTATGATTATTTTCATCCTGAACGTGTTGCAAGTTCTTTTGAACATCTAGCAAATTGTGGATGCAAATGAAACTATAAATTGCTTCCAATAATATAAATGGTCGTCTCCTGTATAACCTCTGACTATTCCTATATGACCACCTGAAAACCTCATAGTCATAGTTATAAGTATAAAATCATGCCACTACTTTGTGCTTTCATTCCCTTGTAGTTCTAACAAATGTCTCCCCAAGGACATTTGTCTCCATGTAAGACACCGACCCTAATGATTAAAATCACGAAAAGTATGGAAATGCTTATTCTTTACGTGTAACAGTTTCCCTTTCAAAGGCACTCAAATATCAGATGGCAAAAAGTCTTAATTTATGTTGTTTTGTACTGGGGCTTGAACCCAGCAGTTTTACCACTGAGTCCCCAGCCCTTTTTAATTTTTGAGACAGGACCTTGCTAAATTGCCCACGCTGGCCTAGAACTTACCACGCTCCCGTCTCAGCCTCCAGTATAGCTAGGATTACAGGTGTGTCACCATGTCCAGCTCAAGATCCCAAACTTTTAAATTTCTGCAAATGACATAATCTCCTGGACAGGATTATGTATCCAAAGACATTCAGCCTTGGTAAACTTCCATGTGGAGCTACGAATAGTGGTGACGTTTTTTTGTTTTGTAATTTTTTTTTTTTTTTTTTTTTTTAGTTGTAGATGAGCAGAATGCCCTTATTTTTATTCACTTATTTTTAATGTGGTGCTAAGGGTCGAATCTAGTGCCTCACACATGCTAGGAAAGCGCTCTGCCACCGAGCAACAGCCCCAGCCCACATTTTACTTTTGAATATATAAAAGGCCTTTCCTTAGGTGATGTTGATAAATTTTCAATGTTGAAGGTAAAAATTTTATTCTATCAGGCAGATCCAAATAAGTAAAGGTTCTCAGAACGAGTGAAGTTTGTTACTCAGGAACAGTCTTTCCACCTATAGCTAAAATATTGACCTCCTCTTAACAGTGGTTGCAGGCTTTTCAGCTGCTATGTCTTCTTCAGATTTCCTCTCTCCTTAGATACATGACCATACCTCCAAATGAAGGCAGAAAACTCTGCACAAAAGAAAATTTAGCATGTATTATACAAATTTGTTGAAGTGACAGATTCAAGGGAAATATGGATTTAAAGTTCTAATGGTTTTATTTGCACCATACCACACGGGTTTCAAAGCCGTCCCAGTTCAACAAAGGCGATCAATGATTTGCCTAAATACTGATAGGAAACAATGGCTTTTTGAATCATCAGAACTGTTTGGCCCAGATACATTAAGAGGGTCATGGTACTTTTCTCTACAAACATCAACAAAAGGTTTTTCCAATGATCCTAGACCTCAGCTGTGTTGGAAACAAAGTTGTGTTGGCTGTAATGCAGTGTATGGTCAGTGATGGGGATTATTTTCCAAGTATCTCTACGGTCTCACCCATAAACCTGTTGTAAACTAGAGTTTACTAGTTTATTTTCCTATTTCGCTAGAAAATTCTAATACCTATCCAATATTTCATAATTTGGCTTTATAATTTTATGTAATAAACTTTTAAGGGAAAAGTGCTTCCTTAATGGTTAACAAAGTTTTATACTTTTGAAATGATATATTCCTACATTCACTCTATTTAGCTGGTGTATTTACTCAAAATTCTACAAAAATTGGTAATTTAAAATAAATGTATCATAATTTGCACTATCACAATTAGAATGTGACAGATTTAACTAATGTACAAGAAAACTATGGATGATACCTGGTAAACTTTTATAATATAAATGTAATGCATATTATGTATTATGTGCATAATTTGATAGCTAATAAAAGCTCACTTTTGCTTTTAGATTTGACACTACAATCATATTCTACTTAAAACTGAAGCACTTGGGCTGGGGCTGTAGCTCAGTGGCAGAGGGCTTGCCTGGCACATGTGAGGCACTGGGTTCAATACTCAGCACCACATAAAAATAAAAATAAATTAAATAAAGGTATTGTGTGTGTGTGTGTGTGTGTGTGTGTGTATAAACCTGAAGCACTTAAGGGCTGGAAGAGAACATCTACTTTGTTCCTTATACAAGCTAAAGAAATAGAAGGCCACAGTAATTTAGTGATTTTCCTAAATACATCAATTTAGCAGAGCCAGGTCAATCCAATAACTCTAATGCTACTTCCATACTTAACTATACTCAGTACATTTTAGAAGTTTGAAAAAATTAAAGTAAGTTTATGTAGGAGGGGAAAAAAAAGTTTAAATGTAAAGGTGTCCATAGGCAATATTATAGGAACTTTGGGTCTACCACAACTCCTATGTAAAAATTCCCAAATAAAAATTTTAAAACTCAATACCATTACAGTTCATGTTTCTTTGAAGCAACAATTCACACTAAAAATGGACTATGTTTGAAAAATTTACTATATAATACCATTAGAAACATGCTAACAAAAGGTAAGTCTACAATGGTAGAAAACATGTACACTAATGAGATTCCACACCAATCTTTATTTATGTTTTTGGGGCCTGTGACAAATCTTATAATTATCTCTTCTGGATTTCACTTTATTCTCTTAATGGTGTGGTTTACCCCCCACTTCACAAAAATCAAGTATGATTAATACACCAGAAATATTTTTTAAAGAGAATTTCTTAAAAAAGACATTTTTAATAACCAAGGCAGAGCAATGACTGTCTCAAAAAATGAATTTATAAACTTTGTGGTAGTGTCATTTTAGAAAAGATTTCATAACCAAACTACACATCTAATTATTAATTTATAATGTATAAGTTATAGCATTCACCTCCTAAACCATGGAAGGTGATTATAAAAATCTTACCACTAGAGGTAAACACTTCATCACATGTCAAGGAAGTGATTTCTCTAATTTTTCCATAAATATATGATTATTTAAATACATGAAAAACTCAAAATTTTTAATTCTTTTTTAAAAAAATATTTATTTTTAGGTGTAGATGGACACAACACAATGCCTTTATTTTTATGTGGTGCTGAGGATCGAACCCGGGTCCTACCGGTGCTAGGCGAGCGCGAAGTGTTCTACTGCTGAGCCACAACCCAAGCCCCAATTTTTTTAATTCTAACACTGATATTCCTAATAAGAATCACAAACATCATGATGGTTTAAAAAAAAAAAAAAAAAAAACCCTACAGATTTAACTGATAAGAATCTTACAAATTAGGGCATAGCAAATAAAATTATCAACTACTACTTTTGGCTCTAGTTCCTATCTTGTCCAAAAATGTGTATATCATAGCCAGCAGAATTTTTCTGTAGAATTTTATTTTGAAAATAATATTTTACTTGATGATTAATCTAAAAAACATCTTAAGATATGAAAATGTTATACAACTTATCTATTACAAATTAATCAGATAATCCAATTAGGTACACTTCAATTAGCTTACCTACATATAAAATATTGCACATTTTCCTTTGTCTCCAAATATGACTGATGTTTAAACTATATAGAATTTCAAACTAAGTTATTCTGTGAAATGTCAACTTTATAAGAACTAAATGCACTGTAAACAGCCATTTTGGTAAACATGCATTTATTCACAGTTGATTTATTTCCTTTAGATAAATGCGTAACTGCTCAAAATTATTTAAGAAACTATGTAGAGGTACAGGAGCACTATACAGATCTATTTTTATCTTCATTGTGAGGAAACACTGACCTTGGCAAAAATCTGGCATTATTTTTCAAATGAACTATTGCTGGTAAAGAAGGCATACTTTAAAACACTTTTGTGTTCTGCACTTGCTTTTTCTTTTTAAAATTAAAATTTAAAAGCATTTTTCAGAGATTCATCTATCACTGCATAAGTGCCTAAAAATAAAAAATGGACCCTGAAAACAGTTGAGCACTTAAGTTAAAATGCCTTGAGAGCCCCATTCTTCTTATAAGTTGGCTGCCTTAAAGTAAACCACCCCAATGATCATAATTACCATTAACTGACAAAAATCAGACAATTTTAATGTTATGTAATTGACACAAACCTGCATAAACACCATTTCTCCACTGAGTTGAGGTCATATTATACTTTAAAAATATAAATAAATATACTGAATTGTAAGTCTTATTATCTATAGTAACCCCAAGGTGTTTAAATATACTTGTAAAACAGAAGTGGACTGTAAAATATAGTTCCAGAGTTGACCATTAATGTCAAATACAATCATTCATTACAAATAACTACTGGTGCACTGGCTTGATTGATTCTAGCAATTTCATTTTACAGGAGTAAACCATTATTTAATACACATAGAGAATATATTACTTGAAAATCCCCAAAATAGGAAATTTAGAAAGCTGATTAAATCCTTCCAAATGAAAAGTAAAGGTCTATTTCTGGCCCTCTTCCATACCCTTAAAGTTAGAAATTGACAAAAGTCCATGGGCACAATTTACAAACTTTGACCAACTACTAAGTTAAAACCGTTTTCTTTGGGGGAAGTGGGAGGAAGTACCTTTAAAACCTGTTATACAAAATTCCAGCTGCCTTTTTATAAAAGTACGTTCCTTAGATTAAAATCATAAAATTACGGTGCAAGAGTTTAACAAAAATGAACTAAAGAGCTTTATTGACATCACAGTACATTCGAGAATAATTTTAAGAACATTACAGCTGAAAGAGAATGGCATGTTTATAGTCTTATTATGCACTATTTTTTGAAAAAAATGTAATACAAAGAAATCCTATTAAGTAACTTGGAGCAGCATTTGGAAAAAAATACACCTATTTACAGATTAAAAAAAAAAAAAAAAATTCTGGTTTCACCTACACAGCCACAATGTGCCTCTATAATGAGACAAGCCCTTAAAACTCATGGAATTTTTTAAAACAACATCATGGCATTCTTGCCACATCATTCCTCAGCGCTTACGACGGGGAGGGGTTGTTGATCTGGAAAAAAAAAAGGGAAAAGACAAAATTTAAAAATAAAAATGTGTTTGAAATTAAAAATCTGCAATTTAAAATAAATAGTATTATATAGGATTTCTAACATTATTTAAAACTATGATCATTTATCAAGTACCAAGTACCAAACTGAGTTTATTAAAGAGAGAGAGAGAAAGGACACTTTCAACTTTGAATAAATTCAGTCAAATTTTTTTTTAAAAATCAGACAAAATACTTTAAAAAGTATACTACCTTGATCGGGACTTAGACTTGTGTTTGCGGCTTGCCTTCTTACCAGACCTTTGAGATTTCTCCATGGATCGCGATCGACTATGTTTAGGCTTCTTAGCCTTCTTTTCTTTGCTACTTCCTGGAGATTCAGAACTGCTCCTTCCACTAGAATCAGAGCCTGAATGCTTTTTACTATCTTTGGTAGTACTTTTCTTACTATCCTGTCTAGGATCATGTCTTATGATTTTAACAGATATAGAACCACTCCTAGAGAATGTTCTTTCACTTTCTCGTTTCCTTTTTAACCTATCATCTTGACTACTGAATTTAAAATCTTTTTCTTCCCTTTTTTGTTTCTCTTTTCTTTTATCCTGTTCACGCTCCCTTTCCTTATCTTTCTTTTTCCTATCTTTATCTACACTTCGACTCCTTTCCTTTTTCCTCTCTTGTTCTTTAGCCTCACCTTTATGCTTATGACTGCTCCCACTAAGATTTCCACGTTGATCCTCAATTTTACGCCTATCTCGACTCCTACTGCGACTGGAACGACTGGTTCGTCTATCCCTCGAGCGACTTCTACTTCTACGTCTCTCTCGGGAAGGACTCCGATTTCGTCGTCTTTCTCTTTCAAGGCTACTTCTATTAGATCTTCTCCTATCTCTAACCTTAATCCTAGCCCTATTACTCTCTATTTTAATTCTGCGAGAGTAGCTTCTACTTCTGCTACGTCTAGCTTTAGTTGTTGGAGATCTACTCCTACTATGTCTCTTTTTCCTTTTAGGAGAAGAAGACCGAGAAGATGTGCGACTACTACCTGAGCTAGAACTGTATGAAGAACTAGAGACAGTACTACTAGTACTACTAGTTCTGCTATTGCTACTGGAACTACCACTACTAGAACTTCCTGATCTACTCCTCCCTTGTTTCTCTTTTTCTTTATGCTCTTTTTTTGGTTCTAAAACTGACGTATTTTCATTCGGAGTTCTTTTCTTTTCATTAACCAGATCACCATCTGCTTCTCTTGCTTCTAGCAGTGATAAACTATTTTGCTCTTTATGGATAAATTCATTCATCTCTTTTGCAACCCTTTCTGTTTGTTGCTTTTCTTCTGAAACAGAAAAAGACAAAAAGAAAGGCTATGAAAAGTTGAACTTAAAACAAAAAAACCTATACTACCAAATTTCAAGGTATCAGGTTCTAACAATAAAGCAGCACTATTTAATAGAATTAGTATATAAACAACATAAGAAATTGAAAAATTGTCTAGTAGCCACATTAAAAAGGTAAAAAGAATCAGAAGGAATTAATTAGAATGTTTTATTAACCCAATATATTAGAACTGAATATTCTACTTTTTTAATGTATAATCTTTGAAATCTAGTATGTATTTTATACCTTACAGCACCTCTCAGTGTGGGCTAGCCACATTCTAAATACTCAATAGCTACATGTTACTAATTAGCTACCATTCTGGTAGTCACAAAGAGTATTAAAGTGTGGAGATGCATATGAAGGGAAAAAAGTTTTCCCTTTTGTTCAATTACAGCAACTTAAGGAAAGTAAGTGATTCATAGAAAAATTTGAGCAGGTAACTCTTAAAAATCATCTTTAAAAATTGTCTAACATCTTTCAAAAAAGAAATTCTAATATTCTCTTTCATTATTCCTAGTATTATATAAACCCTTAAAAGCAGCCCTCAGGTAAAGTATTTTAAATAAAAAATTTCAAGGCCTTCTTTCCTTATGCCCATATATCCAACCTACTTGTCAACAGTCTTACAAATAACATTCCTCCACTTAAAAAAATCTTTTTCATTTCAACAATTTTAACAAGAAATAAAGTTGCTATAAATAGATTAGCTTACAGCCACTGGAATGAATGGCTCCTAAAACAATGAAAAATTTGTGACCTTGGTTTCAGTTATAACACATATTACTTGAAATCTAGACTCAAAATTCATTCTATCCTGATAGTTTAAAAGATATACCTTCCATCTGTTTATCATGTAATAGCTGTTGTTCTTTCTCTTTTCTCCAAAAAGCTTCCTGTTTTTGCCGGATTCGGTGCCGCAATTCTTCATCATCAGTGTCAGATGACTCAGAGCCTCTGTCGCTCCTCTCATCTTCACTGTCTCCTGATCCGTAACCACCCAGTCCACCTGTGTGCATAAAGCTCAGTCTATCATATGAAAAAATTATGCTATCATTAAAAACTTTTTAAGGTCCGAGAAGAAAGCTCATTTTTTTATTATTGCCTTTTCCTGGAAGAATATGCTTATTCGGGGTGGGGAGAAGCATAAATTCAAATGTTTAAGGAGTTTTTTGAACACTGAGACAACTTTATATCTTATTCTTTCTGGGGTATTTTATATATTTTTCACCATTATGGAATCATGATAATGGCTGTTTCACTATCCACACTGGCCAACAAAACCATTTAACAGGGTAGTAATAGTCTCACTAAAGCTTAATCAATTCAACTATCTTAATAGAATTTATGATGATTCTGAAATATTTCTAAAGTTAAATCTTTCATTGTCCAAAGTTTAGGAATCTCAGGTAGGATACTAAGCATTTTTTCCCTAAAATTAGTATACTGTAATTCTCATTGGTACAAAACTGATATGACACTGAAACTACTCCCCACCCTGAAGTGATCTAAATAGTAACCATAACAAAACCATATGGGCATTTGGTTTTACCCAGTTCTCTTGTGCCTCACAAAATTTATGAAATGAAGATGTAGAAAAGGCAAATTCAAGTTTTAGAACCTTGATAATGTATCATGCAAACAGCAAATTCTGAACACATCACTACAGTTATCCTATGATAAGTAGACCCTTTTCTCTATATTAAAACTTGACTTGTTGCAATACAATTCATATAAAAGCCATTAAAAGCATTAGTGGATAGACAAATGCCTAAGGTATGTATGCAATAATTCTGAAAGTGAGCTTAGATACTATCATGGCTAAATTATGACTTCTTAAGTACAAACTATATATATAACTATACATTTATACAATATACATATTGGAGCAATTAATGAGGAAATCCTTCATTCAACTTGCCCCAATAACCTACAATTAACCATTACATTTCTAATAGTCCGAATATGACTGCTTTAAGTAAAAAAAAAAAAATAAGAAAGCTTTTTAGAAACTGATATAACCCTGAGATCTAGGTTTTATAAAATGAGTAAGAATAGTGCAGTTTCAATACAGAACATGTGGAGAAACAAGGTAAGTGTGATTTTTTTTTCCCTTTAGGCCCTCTCACAAATAAGGAAAACACTTACCGAGTCCAGAGAGGGAAGCCAGTGCACTGGACTGTGCCAGCTGTTTTGCAGGAGCTTTGTATCACATCAACAACAGGAACAACATGTTAACACAAATAGCCACGATTTCATAGTCATGAGAGTCTATGGTATTGTTAAATCTACTACTATTGCTGCTTTTTGGGGAGAGAAGAAACATTAAAAACATAACATTCATTTTAAACCAGTAGCATGTCTGGCTTTGAAATTTTAATTCTGATGTGAGCTGAAATTGGTTTATAACTAGGAAAAATGTTGACTAGTACAACTGTATTTCTGAGATACAGCACATAATTTTTGTCTTCAATATGTATTTAAAGTGTTACTAAAATCATGGGGGGCTGGAAATCACTTGTTTCTGTGAGAATTATAAGTGATAAAAATGAAAATTCACAAAGTGCAAATTAAAAATTCATTGTCAAATATATTATACTATAAGTCATATATTGATACCATGGTATCTATAAAAAAAAATCAGGTGAAATAAATTGAACATCAGAAATTTGCCACAATACATGTTATAGGACAACAGCATAATTGCTAATTTGTGTTCAGGTAGGTCAGATAAATATATTTGTATAGTTTTAATATGGTATTTATGAATCTAATCTTTCCCAAAGAGTTAAAACATGCATAGAGATTATTTAAATATCTATATAGTAATTCAGAGGACAACAAAAGTCCAAAATAATCAATAAAACCAAAATTCCCCCAGAAAAACAAAACCAAGAACACCCACAATATACCTTTCGTTGCTTTCCGGTGTGCATCTTTGGCTACATAATAAATTTCTTCGTCTGTGACATCCAACAGAATTTCAGTCAGAAGCATTTTTGTCAGCAACATCTAAGGAAAAATATTTATACACAGTTTCTTATTTATTATTATAGTTAAGAATACAGCTTGGTATTTTCAAAAAGTTAAAATTCAAAGCCTTTTTTTTTTTTTTTTGGTACTAAGGACTGATTACTGATTACTACTGAGTGCATTACCACTGAGCTGTTTTTTTTATTTTGAGACAGGGTTTTGCTAAGTTGCAGAGACTGGCCTCCAACTTGTGACACTCCTGCTTCAGTCTCTCAAGTCACTGGGATTATAGGTATATGTCACTATGTGTGGCAAAAACACTTCATCAAGCATCATTTTGAGATCACAGCAGCCATTCCAAGAACAATCTATCTTGAAAGCTATTCTAAAACACTGAAACTTAAAAATTTCAAAGTCATGAGGATTTAAAAAAAAAAAAAGTTCATCTATAGAGACTGAATTCTTTGTTTTGTTTTTACTTTAATTTTTTTTTAATGTGGTCCTGAGAAGATTGAACTGTGTCTCACATGTGCTAGGAAAGCATTCTACCACTGAATGACACTTCTGCCCCCAAACACTGAATTTTTATTCTAGAATGACACAAAAAGTTAAAAGTTTCTAATAAAAATTTCTATAGGTGCTTTAAAATTAAAGAAGTAGGCTTTCGTTTAATAATACTGGTAAGCAGTACGGTATCAGTTTCTTAATCACTTCTTAAGGTTAGGTTAAAAATATCAATGGGGGAGAGGGCAAGGAAAGTTAAGGACTACCAGATGAAGTTCTTTTATTCTTGACTACCATAATGTAACTCATAAACTATATCAGCTATTTAAATAAAAGTTAATGTCGCGTAAGATGGAGAGTATACTAGGTTTGGAGTATGAACTGGATTTTTGCACTGATTTGGCTACCAAGAACTGTTTGAAATGTAGACTCTTAGTCCCCTACCCTCTCTATGCTTCTAATTACCCATCTATTAAAATGAGAGCAGATTGAATTGATATTATCTCAATGTTTCAAAGACCTCTGGTCTTGCAATATGGGAAGTACATCACATTATTCTCCTAATCTCACAAACTGACAATATACTTTATAGATAACAAAGGCTTTAAAAACTATTACAATGAAGAAATACAATTAACTCTGTTCAATCCCAGTGCTTCCTAAACTTATTTTTCTGTAAATTCTTCTAATCTTTCTCAGTATTTCTACTTAAAAAAACAAAACAAGGGGCTGGGGTTGTGGCTCAGTGGTAGAGCACTTGCCTAGCATGTGTGAGGCCCTGGGTTCGAGTCCCAGTACCGCATATAAATAAGATAAAGGTCCATTTACAACTAAAATATATTTAAAAAAAAAAAAAAAAAAAAAAAACCTTAGAAAATAATGGATCAGGGCTGGGATTGTAGCTCAGTGGTAGAGTGTTTGCCTAGCATGAGAGAGGCACTGGATTCACTCTCAGCATCACATAAAAATAAATAAATAAAATAAAGGTATTGCCAGGCACAGTGGTATGTACCTGTAATCCCAGAAACTCAAGAGGCTGAGGCAGGAAGATGGTGAGTTCAGAGCCAGCTTCAGCAATTTAAGGCGTCCCTAAGCAACTCAGTGAAACACTGTATCTAAATAAGATACAAAAAGGGATGCAGATGTGGATCAGTGGTTAAGCACCCCTGTGTTCAATCCCTGGTTCCAAAATAAATAAATAAAAATAAAGGTATTGTGTCCATCTACATCTTAATTTTTTTTTTTTTTTAAGTAAGTGATCAACATATTCTCTTGGGTCTCAACCAGTAAAATCCTGTTTAATTACATCACTGATATTAAGAAACGAGCTTAATAACTGCTTTATAGGTTATGATTTTGTGATTTATTTATATTACTCGAATTCTTTCAGGGTAGTAGTGGTAGGGGTATTATTTGAATCTTGTAGACATAATTTGCCTAGCAATCTACATATATGAAAAAATAGTTCATAACTGTTTCAGATTCCTCCATTTAAATGTTTTAGATAACCAATCAATTTTAAAACGTTATACACAAATCCTTATACATAATAAGAACTTAACATGATACCATTTGATATTCTTTCTCTTCTTCAGTCATCTCTGGTTCACTTTGCTCTTCCTGAGGAACTGGAGATGGACTTCTGGTGATTTTTCCACTGCTTGCAGCCTCAATGTTTTCAGTATCTTCATCTTCCTCATCACTATCCTACAAAAATAATTAGTAGTCCAAATTGATGTATAATATAAAATCTTTATGAAAAATACAAAACCTGAAGTTAAAGTTGATGAAACAAAAACATACAAGTGAAACTGCTCTCTGAATTACACTGTTTTTCTTATTTGGTGCTGGGATCAAACTCCTGGATGCTAAGCATGTGTTCTACCACTGAGCACCCTTCTAGTCCCTCTAAATTACGTTTTTGTAGTACAGATTTCATTTGGTAGTTTAAAGTATAACCCATGAAGGAATGTAAAGAAGCTGATGAAAATCAATTATTTTTTCAATTTTCTTTTCTCTTTGGTCAATTTTGAACTTATTTTACAAATAACCAGAAAAATATCCCAGTCAGAGACAAAATTTAATTGATATCCATTATACAGGATGGCCCCAAAATAAGTGGCTTGTAGAATTTTAGATAAATGGACCATAGCAGTACTAGTCAAAATAATTTTTACAACTATATGTTTAAGCCATTTACCTAACATGTGACTTAATATGAAAAATCCCTGGTCGGTTCCAAGATCTCAGCTTGCCCTGAAACTTAACAGTAGACAGATACATAAGAAATTAGGTTTACTTGAGACTAAGAAAATGCCAGCAGTTTGTCTGTATCTCTTTATAGTTTTAGGTTTCAATGTCTAGATACCATACCCTAAAAAGGGGACCCTTGCTTAGTCAAAAACAACCACAGCAGCAGCAACAAAACCCAAAAATCCCATTATCATAACTCCCTGCAATGCTATTAAGAAAAAGATAAGATAGCTATTTAAATACTATTATGGAAAGACTATTTGAACCAAGGGACAAATATATGCAATACAAACACAAAGGCATTTGGGAGGACAATCTCCAGTTTTTTGAAGACACTAAAAGAAATCTGGAGAGCCACTGTGTCACATAAAGATCTTCTTTGATCTTTAGAAAAGGTAAATTCTAATGGTGTTTATTCTTTCTCATTTCATAACATCTATATAGATTTGGCAGAGGTGTTTTGGAAGAAAAATAAAATTAACCTAAGATCTTTGAGGAAAACCAAAGACCAAAATCCAGTTATCCTGCTGTACTTGAAACTTACCTTTGAAGCAGAAAATGGCCCTGAGGGGAAGACCCGTTTCCTGAGTTACATATTGGGTACTGATGTGGCTGTCATACCAGCTAGGAACATGTTAATGCTGAATAGAAAAATTCCTAAACTTCTCATGCCATTTAACTGATGAATGAAGATTAAAAGACTTAAAACACAGTGATTTTCAGTACTCATGTCAACAACAATGAAATATATTACATCCTTAGGTGTAAGTATTTACTCATAAGAAGGGCAGAGTTATTTTCTCTATTGCCATTTAAGTTTTTTTTTTTTAGTTGTCAATGGACTTTATTTTATTTATTTATATGCAGTGCTGAGAATCAAACCCAGTGCCTTATACATACTAGGCCAAGTGGTCTACCACTGAGCCACAACCCCAGAGCTCTACTGCCATTTAATATAGTTTTAGGGAGTCAGCTGAACAAGAATGAAAGAATATAGATTTGTTTAGACCAATTCAGAATCTGATGGAATAATCTCTTTCTGGAATAAAATGGTTTATAAACTCATAGTTCCTCTTTCCTTCATCTACTTTTTCCCCATAATACATTAAACAATAAACCCCAGAATACTTACTGCAAGTAATGTCAGAAACATTAATTTTTCTTATAATTATCAATCTCAAACTTTTTGCACAGACAAAATTATCACAGGGAGTTTCTTGCCAAAGGCTTCTACTTACAAATTTACTTCTCTGAGGTAAGCGAGGGCCATCTCCTCCTTCAGCATCTTCTGTGGCCTTCTTTTCTTTTTTGGACAACTGTGAACGTTGTTGTTCCATTCTTTCTTTTTCTAATTTCTTCTGCTTCTCACGTTCCATTTTTTCAAGACCTTCACGAATCCAAGCTGGAAGAGTCCTGCGTTTTACTGCATCTGTTTTACACCAAAAAATATATACAAGTCAGGCAAAAATCATAACAATTGAGTTCCTTCTACAAGTTTTCTACAAACTTGTGAGTAAAAATAAAACACAAAGCCCATCAATATCATGTTTTTCTTTAAAACCATCCCATTTTCAAAGTAATATCAAATATGTTCAAATGCTTATAATTTGCCAGGGCACAATAAAAAAAAAAAAAAAAAACACACTAAACTGTCACCTCATTTAATCCTTACAAAAGTCAGAAGAGATTACCATTATTATCTGATCTCTTTCATAGGTGAAGAAACTGAAGCTTAAAGAGATAAATGAATATGCATAAAGTTAAAAAGTCAGTAATATGTGTGTGGGTGAAATTCTATATTAAGTTGTTTCCTAAAATATGAAAGCAGAGTCAAATAAAAGCACAACTAAATTTTCACACTAAGAATTCATTAAGTTAATAAAAGCCATAATTAGAATCTTCCTAAAATATAAAAAGAAAAGACTTTAAATGTTCTAGTCAATTAAATGTTAGATGATTTGTAACTTTCCAGATAAAAGTAGTATTTATGTAAACTGGCACTGGCAATAAATTAGCTTTAAGGTTATTTAAAAATTGAAGTTTTCTGCCAAAATACTTATGGAGAGTGAAATAATCAAAGGAAAATTAATTTGGCCACAGTGTACCAGATGAACTGAAAGTAAAAAAAGACCCAAGATGGAGAAGAGTCAGGTTTAAAAAGGGAGAACTGTTCATAGAACTGCATAATGTACTGAAATATCAACATTGAAGAAAACTGCAAGATTCTCTAGTCATCAAAAAATTGCATTTTATCACAAAATATAGAACTTAAGGTAAATATTTAAAGACTATTCAAAATCTTTTATAAATCAGCATCTTTTGTGTAATTTTAAGGTTTTATATTATTAAAATGATAAGGTTTTCAAGCACCAATTTTTAACATATCAGAGGCATTAAAACAATTTAAGAAAATAAAGACACCCTTTTTACAGTGATAAAGAAATCATGCCAATTGTGGTTCAACAAACTTAAATAGCTACCAATTTGTGGAGGCTCCTGCTTCACAGGAAGTGCAATAGGTGAGCGTTGCCGATCCCTGAATGATGATGGCCTTTCTCTCCGATTCTGGGGAGGTGCTGGAGGTCCTGGAGGTCCTGGTTGCCAATAAGGAGGATGAAATCCACCTTGCGGTGGACCAAAAGCAGCCCCATGCTGAAAGAGTATTGCATTTTATTTTTCTTCAATTTAAAAAAATACACTCTCTGGGACACACGTGTGTTATGAACTGGGACAGTAGAAATCCATGTGTGCAGCAAATCCAAGAACTCCATGGTTCTAACATCCACCGATATTTCTGTAAGCCCCAAGAACCTAGGCTTACTTCTCTTAAGAAAGATAAAGATTTTTGCCTATTAAATGTAAAGAGCCTTCTAAAACTCAGCTGATACACTATTTTCAATTGTATAGAAGCCCTACTGGCACCAATACATGAAATATCAAATTTTCTTTTAATTAGAAAATATAGGAAATTTCTTGTCAATTTAAACTTCCTTTTTCTACTGAACTCAAGTTGTTCCTATAATCCTGCAGAATCTATTTATATATAAGCAAAGAAAGAAATGAATTATTACAGTAATTTTTTTTTTGCAATTCTGCTATTTTTCAGAGGCTTTTCTAAGGCCTGTTGCCAATAAAAAAAATTCTTTGTCTTGTTAGCATGGGATTCACAAGTAAAATGGGTAAGTAGAAGCTCTCTATCACTATGTTTATTAAAAAAATAAAATAAAATAAAACCACCATATACGTATAGAAAGTGAGAGCATACAACCAATATCTGAATATATATTAACTCGATCTCAAGGCAAATACACTACCAAATTTACCTTGGAATTAGCGAAATATTATATGGGGCTTTTCAAATTTTAAATCATGACAGCTCCGTTTATAAAGTAACAACTGCAATCAGTTATTTCAAAATGTCATCTAGCATTATAACTTATGGGTAGACCATAGCAGAGTAAATACAGAAAATAAAGTCTCACATAATAACACTATTCCCCATAGAGTTCTATGTCCCTAGGAATGAACTGGATGTTACAAAGGATATCATGTACAAGTCCATTAACATGTCATGTCGGAATGGGAAAACAACAACAACAACAAAGCCACTAGAAAAGTCATAATTCTACATAGCAGAAGGACCTAGAGTTAGGAAGATGATCTATGTTCATGTGTATTATTAACGTCTTAAAAATAATCTATTATTGATAAATAATGTATTCAACTACTGTGCATTTTCTAAACTTTATTCAATATTTAAATGTATCACTTTGAAATTAGAAACAAAGAATCATATAACTATTGAATTTATACATTTTTTAATTTTACCCAAAATTTCCTCTAATGTTTCTTTATACTGTTTTCCTAATCAAATAAAAAATCAGAAAATAAAAATCTAATAATTGTAATAAATTGACAACTTTTCTGAGACACTGTACATGCTTATCTGTACAACTCTGAAAAGTGAAACACATATCTTAGGTATTCTTGATGAGATACTTCCAAAAATGGATTACGTGCACATCTACAATATTAAAGCAACAAAATATCTTTCACCTGATAGTCAAACTGGTTCACTGGCCCCACTGCAAAATTATCGGGTGGTCCACCAAAGTTGTGATTGTTCTGGTTAAATATATGCCTGTTGTCAGGGGCAAATTCCCCACTGTCCTGACTGTTGCTGTCTTCAGAAGGAGGAACAATGTCCATTGGGCCTGGTGTTGGTGGCATCCATGGCTGATCTGGAGGGGGGTGTGGGGGCTGCTGATGCATTCCCCATTCTATTTAGGATTTAGGCATAAAAATATTCAACAGGGGGTTATAACAAAATCAACACAAATTTTTAAGATTTCAAGAAAGCTAGATTTTTCAGTAAAGAAACAGATTTTTTAAAAAACAATTTATGACTTCTTGGTCAAATTCCTTTTGTATATCTTACAAATAGGCAAAGAACTAAACTATCTTATAAATAATTCAAATGAGTTAAATCCATTCTAATTCACATTCTAAACAAATGGGAATCAAATGCCCAAAATTATTTTTAACGAACGTAACATAAATCCACAGAAACTTTTTGAATTTTTCTATTCTTGTTCAAAAACACCATAAAAATAATACTTAAATTTTTATATAAGTTCTTTCTTCCATGAACACATTTATCCTCACAACATCCCTGTGAGGTAGGGGAAATCAGATATTATTTTTGCCCATTTCATGAAGGGAAATTGAGGCACACAGATGTTAAATAACTTTACCAGGGTCACAAAGAAAACCAGTAGAGTAAAACTGGTGAATGGGGATGCCAGGGTGAGTCATTTATAAACTTGAACTTGGGGATTAAAACATTTTCAAACTTGAGAAAATTTGGCTTTCAGGAAAGCTAGAAATAAATCACCTCACAATATCAAAAATTAGAATATTTGTTATTTTTAAAATAGTGTTAGGGAATTCCTTCCTGTATTTCCATTTTTTTATAGTAACATGAGAAACAATAAATAGGGAAACAGGAATATGACTTCACCATCAGCATACCCAAATGAGAAATTCTTCTATAAATAGTTTAAAGTGATTATTAAAAAACAATAAAAATACAAGCCATGGAATTAGCCAAGGAATCTAAATCATACTGTGAATTAAAAAAACAAACAAACAAACAAAAAAATAAAACGAACAGAAACTTATGGAAGATCTTCACTATCAGAAAAAAGGAAAGAGTAAGATGGGTGGATGGTAGGGGCAGAGTATATTTGACAGACTTATTTGTCACATAGTGACACAATTTTTCTTTAATTAGAGGCTAGACATGTACTCTGCCAGTGCTGCTTCTGAAAAGGCCAGAGGTTGCAACAGAGAGACAAAGAATGCTCTCTTCCCTAGATGCCAAGTGAGGTTTCCAGAGTGTTCCCAGCCCCTGTCAGCCTAGGAATGAAGAACCAAGAAAAGAATCAAACTGAGTGCCACAATGCTAGCAGAATGAGCACAGAATAATTTTAACCCCTAAATGTCAAGGTCAAATCAAATTGAGACTGCCTATTCTTTAAAGAGCATTAATTTCAAGAAGTCATAAAACTAAGCAAATTAATTTACCATTAACCTTCACTTTATTTTAAAAACAGTCCTAAAATTTGGAAAATGTAAACAAACCTGGTTGCCACATTCTATTAAAATTGGAATCCCCTTGAAAATTCCCATGATTGTTTGGACCAGATTCCATTGCAGACATATCTTGTCCATTTGGCATCATTCCTGGTGGTTGTTCTACTATGCTTTGCTGTCCTGAAGCTTCTCTTTGGGCAATCCAAGCCTGAGCCAATGCTGCCCAGTCAATCTGGCCTAACGTAAATTAACAAAGAATTTAACATTCAGAATGTAGGAGCTAAAAAAGAACAGTGCCTCTAATAAAACAAGTATCTCAGTTATTCCTTAATAAAACTTTAAAATTTTATAGAATGTTATACCTCAAAAGATGCTTAGAAACTAATCCATACTCAGGCCTCAGCATAATCTACTTAACATCTTCTAAAATGAACTCCACAAAGACACTTTTAACCCATTACTCATACTAACTCATAGGACGTTAATGCCCTGCATCTTACTTTTACTAAGTTTTTAAAAAGTCTCCTGCTGCCTCTTTTTAAACCACCATAAAAGTAATCAAAGTCAACCATTTCTTTCTTAGCATGTACTATATTCTTCTTTCCAGGCCTATCTTTGAGCCTACAGATCTGAATAAGTATAGTTATCTCTCCCTGCTCCTCTCCGGATTGCCCTTCTTTAAGGCTCCCTTCTCCAGTCAAAATACAGTTTCCTTAACAACTTTGTAGTCATTCTTCACTCAAAACTCATTGTCCCTCACTATCTTGAAGGTCTCTACACTTCTTCTCCAGCTTAAGATCAAATATTATTAATAAAACAAATAAAATAGAATGGGACACATCTTTTTCACATCTCAGTTCAGTAAAGATTAAATAGACAATCTCACATACTTTCAGTGAAATTCAGATTTGGCATAATCTGGATGAAGTTAAACTTAGCAATGTGTATCTCTAACTTTCAAAATCTGCAACTGCAACCTAGCAAACCTAGCTCTTTTACTTAAAAAAAAAATTAAACAAGTTAATAATGATATGTACACAAAATTATGATGTTTCAAAAATAAAAAGCTGTAAACAAATATCCAAAAGTAGGCTTTGTTAAATTATAGTATGATCCTACAACAGAATGTTATGTAGATAATAAAAAAACAAATGGCATCAGATTATAAAGTTGGCCATAACATAAACAAATGTTAAAGTAAAGAAACATATGGGGGGCTGGGGATGTGGCTCAAGCAGTAGCGCGCTCGCCTGGCATGCGTGCGGCCCGGGTTCGATCCTCAGCACCACATACAAACAAAGATGTTGTATCAGCCGAAAACTAAGAAATATATATTAAAAAAATTCATTCATTCTCTCTCTCTCTCTCTCCTCTCTCTTTAAAAAAAAAAAGAAAAGAAAAAAGAAACATATGGGGGAGAGGGAGAAGCTCCCTATACTATTCTTCTATATTTATATATGCTTGAAATATTCCATAGTGAAAAGAAATCTTAAAAGTGCTATGGTATAGCATACCCTGAATTTGATCTAATTGTGTAAGATTCAGAATTAACAACAGGGGCTAGGGATATAGCTCAGTAGTAGAGTGTGTGCCTTGTATGCCCAAGGCCCTGTATTCTAATCCCCAGCACCACAAAAAAAAAAAAAAAAAAAAAAAAGAAAGAAAAAAGAATTAAAGTATGCTCTATTCAAGCAGTAAATTTTATGCTTTTTAAAATTTCTTTGGAAAAATAACACACACTAATATGTAAAATCTTTATAAAGCTTTCTATCCTTGGGGGAAGTCTTTCAAAGAAAAATTCTTATTACATATGTTATGGCAAGGCTGTTAATGATAAAAGTTACATTTTGATCATAAAATGATTCAAAATGAATCCCAATTCTGTTACCTATCACCTCTCCATTTCTAAATACCCGCCCCACTCCTTATCAAATTCAATTTTTTCTTACTTGGATCCTGTTGATGCTGGAATGACTGCATCCATTGTTGTTGGTTCAAGGGCCATTGCTGCCACGGCTGTCCTCCTTGATCCCACATTCTTTCTTTAAAAATATATTGATTTTCTATTTTCAAAAAATTAAACATAGTTTAAAAATTACACTGCAAGTTCTTTAATTTTTAATCCGTACACACCAGAAATTATTATATGATGATACATTAATGTGATTAGAGCTCTAAAATTCTGATCAATATATTACCAGAGATGACTAGAATTTTTAGGTTGGTCAGAAAGAGTAGAAAATTTTATATTAATGCTCATGTTAGAGTTTGGTGGCCAAAAAAAGAAAAGCTCTAATCAACTTAGCTTAAAAAGGGTAAAAAATATAAGAATATACAATTTTCTGGAAATCTGATTTTTTTGAAAATTATACAAAGTTTTTATTCTCCCTCCAAATGACTCCTGAAAAAGAGTAACTAAATAGCGATAGCTGATGAAGAAAGTTTCTCCTTATAATTATAGTTAATAAATGCAGACAGTGGAATAGAATTAGAAAACTGCCATAATGCCAAATCTAATAATTGATTCAGGAAAACTTGGAAGAAAAGTTGATGAGAAATCAAATTCACAGGTTACCAAAATACCATCCCCAAAGATTGTGAGGTGTCTATGAATGGAAGTACTATGTTCCCAAAATCACTATGAATATTCTTACCAAAAATGTTTAACTGAAACTAAAGAAATTATAGAAGATTAAAAAAATGACATAAACAATATCTGAAAAAACAATCAGACAAAGCCAGAAAGTGAGAGAATCTCCAAGACCTGGTTTCTTAACATGTTAAATAGATTGAAAAATTGTGAGTGGGTCATCATAACTAGCCTGCTTTTTTGTAAATAATCCTGAAAACTTTTCTAATAAAAAAATTTTAAATTCCTACAAGTCTATTATCTTCGTACTTTATCATTGATATATAACCCTATTCAAGAAAAGAGAGACTAGATCCTTCTTTCCTCCCCTGCACAAAAGTCAATTCAAAATAGATTAAAGACCTAGGAATTAGACCAGAAACTATGTAACTCATAAAAGAAAATGGATACAACAGGCAACATAACAGGTAACAACTTTCAATAGGATCCCTAAAACTTAGTAAATAATGCTAAGAATTAATAAATGGGATGGCATCAAATCAAACAGCTTCTGCACAGCAAAAGGAAACAAGAATGTGAAAGAGAACCTACAGAATGGGAGAAAATTTTTGCTAGCTATTTGTTGACAGAGAATTAATATCCAGAATATATAAAGAATCCAAAATAAGTTAACACCAAAAAACAACCCAATTAATAAATGGGCAAATAAATACTTCTCAAAAAAAGAAATACAAATGGTCAACAAATACATGAAAAAAAATATCCAACATCATTAGCAATTAGGGAAATGCAATTCCAGTCTTTGCAGTATTCTCAGAACGTTATATAGTTCTGTTAGTGGTTGATTCTGATTTCTTTGTGGATCAGGGGTGGTACATTTCTTTGTTATCACGATTACTTTAAAAGGCAAAACTACTTGTCTTCTGGTTATACTAATATAGTTTATTGCATCACCATCAGTAGAAGAAAACAAAACTAGTACTACATAGCACCACAACTGGAATTGGACATCAGTTCCAAGCTAAATATACTTCTTTTTAAAATCTTTTCAGTGTTTCTTTCTTCTACCCCCACTTCCTCCCTTATTTCCCAACTTTAAAGTCCTTTAAAGCTAAATTAGTCATCAGAGCCCTCAAAAAGTAACTTTAATTTCAGTTTTAATTAAAGTTAACAAATCAAAAGGAAACACCAAAAAGCAATACCAACTGCTATTTTAACTGACTCAGAGATTCTCCTTCTGTTTAAAACTTAGGTTGATTCACCTAACAGCACAAATATTTATATACTGAGATGGTGTGAGGGAGAATGTGTATGTTCTTAGATTATGACGATTACAATAGAATAAATTTCAGAGATACAACATAAAAGTGTGATTATTTCCACATTAAAGTTTACTTTCTGTTAACTTGATAATGGGGAATTATTTTACCATTATAAAGTTAAGGAAAAGAGATACACTGAAAATAAAGAGGCAAAGCTTCTTAAAATCTTTTTTTTTAAAACACTTTCTAAACATGTTATCTACTTGAACAATCCATTCACCATACAATATAATGTCAAACAATTTAGAAAATGAGAAAAAGGGGACAAACATTTGAAAATATTTTTGTCTGCCTGGCATTAACTTAAATGGTATAAATAAGGTAATAAAATGCATTAATTCAATTTTTTTCGGTGGTACTCAGATTGAATCCAGGGCCTCAAACATATGAGGCAAGTACCTTACCACTGAGCTGCATCACCAACCCTTTGCCTCAGCCTCCAAAGGAGCCGAGATTACAGGCATATGCCACCGTGTCCTAGCTTAATTCAGATTTTTCTATAAAAGTCTGTTTGAAAATTAGCAAAGACAAACAAAAACAAAGAAAAATTTTTCCATCTTTTCATTTTCCACATAGTACAGGACAACACCAAATGAATAATAACTGAGTGGTCTTTTTATTTATGGTATTTCTCAAGGTTAATAAGAAATTTGTTGACTTATATTTATGAGAATGAATATGCTGACCTAAGCACAACTTTGCTGTGTTTCCAAACTTTAACAGCTTTTATCAGAATTCAATGCATGGGGGCTGGGGTTGTGGCTCAGAGGGAGAGCGATCACCTAGCATGCATGAGGCACTGGGTTCGATCCTCAGCACCGCATAAAGTAAAATAAAGACATTGTTTCCACCTATAACTAAAAAATAAATATTAAAAAAAAAAGAATTCAATGCATGGATTTTTCAATCCTAAATTTTACACGATGTAGACAGAGTTCTATAAGGTGCCTACTGGAGACGCAAACAGTAAAACCACATTAATGATTAAATAGTATATATAACTACCTACACCATTTCCAAAACATAAATTTTCTTTTCCAGAAATCACTAGTTTCCCTTTCTTACTCAAGTTTAATAGATGTCATGAACTTTTTCAGTTCTCCTTTTAACTTTTCTGATCATCACTTGTCACCTAGACTTTAGAGCATAAGCTGTGGTTCATGATGCCTACTTCTACTTATTTATTAGCTATTTGAACATGGCAAAATAGTCTTTAATCCTTGAATTCCCCACCTATAACAATGGAAGACACAATGACTACCTCATAGGATTATAGTGAAAAATACATGTAAACAGCACAGAAAGTTCCAATCAGTGGTGGTCAATATCATTACCAGCACTTTCTCAGTATACTTCTGGTAGCAGGTTTTTAAAAAAAGTTGATAAAGCCCTTTTTCTTCTATTCAAGTGCATTTTATTCTCCAGAAATAATCTAAGACTTACACAGATTTTCATTTTATCTTTGGAAGAACTCGTTTGTCTTATTGTCCCTACTTCTCACCAAATCATAGGTTGATTTAAAAAAAAAAAAAAAAAAAGTGCCAGGCATAGCTGCATATGCCTATTATCCTAGCAACTTGGAGACTGAGAGGGGAGGATTTTAAGTTCAAGATCAATCTGAACAACTTACTGAGATCCCCCTCCTAAAAATAAGTTCTAAAAAAGAACAATAACTTCAGATATATACCTATATACCAAGAAGTTTTACTTACATAATTTTGACTGTCTGATTTGTATTACTTATAGCCATTATTCTATATTTTTAAACCAATCACTTATAATATAACAATTGTTATGTATCCCAAAGCTTTTCTTCCTGAAAGTTCTTATGGAATCTACTATTCAAGTATAGTGTCTGATAAATTTAAGCCGAGAAAAATGGAGAAAAAGATGTGAAACTGTGAAAGGCAGAGCAGAATTAAAACAACAACAACAACAACAACAACAACAACAAAAAACAGAAAAGAAAGTGACAATAAAATTCATGGAAGAAGTTAGAAGTTAGGAGCTGGGCTGGGGTTGTGGCTCAGTGGTAGAGCGCTCACCTAGTATGTGCGGGGCCCTGGGTTTGATCCTCAGCACCACATAAAAATGAATGAATAGAATGAAAGTATTGTGTCCAACTACAACAAAAAACTAAATATTAAAAAAAAAAAAAAAGCTAGGAGCTACTAAGGTGCTTCAATTAAATTTGGAATTAAGAAACTTGATCTGATTACCAAGAAAGACTCCTGGATGAGGGTATAGATATAAAAATGAACCAAAAAATGTACCTCTATTCAGTCATTTAAATGAATAAGGTAGATTTTTATGACAGATATGTTACAAACCATGTTAGTGGCGAGAAAAACTTACACAGACACATAAATAGAGATCAGGGAAATTTGATTTTTTATTATGATATTCTGTACTCTTTGAATGACTTTATCATGAGTGCACTTTTCAAAATATATAGATTTTAAAAGATATAAATCAAGGGAAGCTGATGAGCATAATCAGTAATGACTGATATGGAAAATAAAAATTAAGACAAAAATCACCTAACTAAGAGACACTGGGCAAATCTCCAGACCTTTATTTCATTTCTTATAGAGTAAATTTCTATAATTTAGTCCAAAAGAGGCGCCTCTGGTCATGAAAACTAAATTTAGAGTTACATTAAACATTGTAGAAAAAGAAGAGATTTTAGGCAAAGATCAGATATATTTAGATATTTAATATTATCTCTTATATATGTTTCAATATAACTCAACACTTGATAAAAGGTTTCATTATTTTTTAACTAAAGAACAAGTACCTAAGAATTTAGATGTCCTATTCTTTCTTTCTTCATTTTCACCATAATATTGTCACTATTAACAAACTTAACAAATACAAAATGTGAAAAACATAAGTAGTAGAAAAGCCTTTCACTTGGGTAATCAACAGATAGACATGCTTTGTCCCTCAGTATCTGTGAGGGATTGGTTTCAGGATGCCCATGGACACCAAAATCTGTGGACTCTCAAGTCCCTTATCCAAAAAGGTGTAAATTTGCATATTACCAATGCACACCCTTCTATATACTTTAAATCATCTTGATATTACTTATAGTACTTAATACAATGTAAATACTATGTAAAAGGTTGTTATACTATATTGTGTAAATAATAACAAGAAAAAAAAAAGGGTCTATGTTCAGCACAGATGTTATTTTTTTTCCCCCAAGTACTTTCAATCTGCAATTGGTTGAACCCACAAGATATGGAACCCACTGATAGGGCAGACTGTGTTTTTAAATTCACTGTGGTTCTTTTGTTCCTTGGTTTGTTCTGCACTGCTGCAGATCAAACCCAAAGGCCTCCAAAATGCTAGGCAAGTGCTCTAACTTAGCTACACCTTCAGGATCACTTTGGTTTAATGACTAGCACAAAAGTATACCATTGAAAATGACATTTACAGTGTGGTTTAATAATGATTTGGAAAATGTTAGTAACTGTTAAACATGGGACTTCTCTATATTTCTGCATTGTTTGAAATGTTCCTTAATAATTTAAAGATGATATACACAGTACTTCTTACAGGGAAAATGTAATGAGTTTTCATATTTTTGTCTTGGCTTAAAGAAGAATCTTCTTGAGGGGAGAAGAAATATCTTACAATATCTGAATTCTCTACACTGCTCTGTCCATACTAAGTGGTTAAATACTCATTCACTAAAATATATTAATATATTAATATTTGGTCATGAAAATGACATTCTAATACTGCTGCTGTCCTTTTATAATATCAAAATTCGACCCCAATCTATCTATACTTCCTTTAGACTTAATTTTAAAGATCAATAGACTCAACTTTTTTTAAACTTGAAGAAATTTGATGACTGATGAGTCAGATTGCAAACCTTTTTTTGAGAGTATATTTCTTCGCATGGTCAAGTTAACTGTAATAGCCTTGGAAAACAATTGGGATTTGGGAAGACCAGAAAGATTTTTTAAAAATCAAGGTTTATACCGCATCATCAAAACTATCACACTGCTACAAATAAAAAACTTATGATTATCACCAGTGTTGTAGACTGAATTGAGTCTCTTCAAAAGTAAGTTGAAGTCCTACTCCCTCATACTTGTGAATGTGTCCTTATTTGGAAATAGTCTTTGCAGGTGTACTCAACTTCAGATTAGGTTGTACTTAAGTAGGGTGACATCTAAACAAATGACTGGGTTCCCTACAAGACAAAAGACTCAAACACCCAGACAGAGAATGTCATGTGACAATAGTGGCAAAAGTTAAAGTGAGGAGTCTACAAGTCAAGGCCAGGACTGACAGAAAGCACCAAAAGCTGGAAGAGGCAAAGAAGGACGCTACAGCCCAGGGGAACACAGCCCTGCCAAATCTTGATTTCAGACTGTCTTTGGAACTGTGAAATAAATTTCTGCTGTTTTAAGCCATCCACTTTGTGGTAATTTGTTATGATAACTCTATGAAACCAATACAGTCAAGAAATGATCATTTAGCTTATTCCTTTCTAAAATGATTTTGTATTACAATCATCCTGTCTCTTGAGTTTCCTAAAATGACAACAGTTGTTAATATTTGCAAAGGTCACCCACAGACTGTGAGACAGAGATGAATGGGAATTAAAATTTGGTGTTTTAAAGCCATCATGAATCAAATACAAAATCACAAAGATATAGAACCAACTTGGGAGGTTGAGGCAAGAGAAACATGAATTCAAAGTCAGCCTCATCGGGGCTGGGGTTGTCGCTCAGTGGTAGAGTGCTTGCCTAGCATGTGTGAGGCCCTTGGTTCGATCCTCAGCACTGCATAAGTAAATAAAATAAAGTATTATGCCCATCTACAACTTAAAAAAAAAAAAAAGTCAGCCTCAGCAAATTAGCAAGGCCCTAAGCAACTCAAGTGAGACCCTGTCTCTAAATAAAAAAGGTAGGGCTCAGTTAAGTGCCCTGGGTTCAATCCCCAGTAAACACCTCCCTGCAAAAGACAGATAAACACACCTGTCCTTTTGATGCATATGGTAAAATTATTCTCACATCAAACATAAAGCTGAAAAGTCACAAAATACAAAGATCCTCTTTCCACCTGCCAGTTCAGTCTTACACACAAGTGACCTCAAAGTCAAAAAGAATTCATTTGTTTAATTCAAGTTAGGTGGAAATGGCACTGGTAAAGATTATTCTTGAAATGTGGTTAAAAGAAAAATTGATTTGATTTCACATGCATTTTAGTATACAGTGGAATATTTTGCAGCTTGTAGTTCAAAAGAGGAACAGTACTAAAAAAAACAATGCAGAATTGGATAGTTTGGTTCTAATGCCCCCCAAACTAGTAATAACTGAAAAATAAAGGCCTAAAGTGACAATTAGCAATGAGCATGTTTATGCACCTACACCTTAGTTCTATGTCATTTGGCAATAAAAGAACGATGAGTTCTTAGAGAAGGAGCTGATTCTAGGACTGGGGCAGGAAATATGTGACTGGACCATCTTATGGTGCCAAGAAATACGAAAGAGCTACAAAAAAAAAAAATAAAAGAGGAACAGTACACAAATTGAAAGAGCTGCCAATGGTCAAAGCTGAAACAATTTAAAAATCAAAATGAAGCTATACTGGATTATAACAGATTATAAAATAAACATCCATGGGTCTACACTGACATAAACGTTTAATTAAGCTGGACACAGTGAGACACACTTGTAATTTCAGCAACTTGGAAATCTGAGGCAGGAGGATCCCAAATTCAAGACTAGCCTCAGTAATGTAGCAAGGCCCTACGCAACTCAGCAAGACCCTGTTTCAAAATAAAAAATTGAAATTGGTTGAGGACATGGCTCAGAAGTCAGGCACCCTTGGGTTAAAGCCTCACTACCAAATAAATAAATACTTAAATAAATTAACAAACAGGAGGAAAGGGACAAATCCCCCATAGAGATTTCCAAATAAATTGTGAAAATACTCCACCCTAATGGAGGGGGAGAATAACTCTCCATTACTAAAGGTTATGCAAAGCAACTTCCTGCCAAAAAGGAGAGCATGGAAAGGAGAGAAGGAGGTAACTTAACAATGGTAAAGCCTGACAAACACTATCTCAGGAAGATGATCAAACTCACTATCAATATTTTAAGTCACACTAAGAGTATGTACTCTTTGTAGCATGTGATGAAAAGGGCTTTACCTCAGCGATCATCCTCCCAAAACTACTAACAGTATTTCAATCATGAGGAAAACATCTGGCAAATTCCAGTATACCTGACCAACACTCAAAAATGTAAAGGTTATTCTACAGAAGTATGCCAGGGCTGCCATAACCAACTACCACAGAATACTACTTTAAGCAACAGAAATATATTTCCTCATAATCATGGAGACTGAAAGTCCAAGATCAAAGCTTCAGCAGGACTGATTTCATTCTGAAGCTTTTCTCTTCAGATTGTAGATCCCTCTGCATCTAAATCTCTTCTTCTAAGGAAACCAGTCATATTGGATTGGATTAGGGCCCATGAGAATGATATTATTTTACCTCTTTAAAGACCCTATCTCCAGGGCTGGGGCTAGCTAGGGTCAGTGGTATGGCACGTGAGGCACTGGGTTCAAACCTCAGCAACACATAAAAAAATTAAAATAAAATAAAGGTATTGTGTCCACATACAAAAAAAAAAAAAAAAAAAAAAAAAAAACCCTATTTCCAATATGGTCAAATTCTGAAGTAAAGAAGTTAGGACTTCAACATATGAATTTTGGGGGACACAATTCAACCCCTTTGAGTCATTAAAAAAAAAAACAAAGCCTGAGAAACTCTCACAGGCCAGTGGAGACTAAAGGCACATGACACCTAAATGTAATGTGGTGCCCCAAACAGGATTCTGGTGAGAAAAAAGAACTACAATTTAAAAAACTAAGGAAACAGTAATAAACCACGGACTCCGTTAATAACAGTTTATCAATATCGTTTCATAAATTGTAACAAAAAGTACCACACTTATAAGGGAAGAAACGGGAAAGGAGGGACGATTATGTACTATCTGCTCCATTATTCTGTAAATCAAAAATTATTCTAAAATATAAAATCTATTAATAACTTTTTAAAAACAGAGTCTCTCAAGGACATCTTAAAAGAACTGATTTACTATTATTCTCCCGATAGCCCTTTTACACTTTACAAAAATCCCAGAATAAAATCTTTTTGTTCATGTTTTGTTGTTTTCACTGTATTCAAATGAGAAATTTCAGGTTTACTTTGCTTTACGTGGTTCAGGGAGGGAAACAGATTAATAAGGGATTTTAAATTAGAATGTTAATTTAACAATTTAATCACCCAGAATCAAAATTTGTCCAAAGCCCAATTTAAGTGACGATACTATCCACGATAAGACGAAAACAACCGAAATATACTACCTGTTTCCTTGTGAAGCTTAACACATAACGTCCACCACTAGATAAGAACACAAGAAAAACAAAAAGTAAGGCACCTAATTGTAGTTAACAGGACGCAGTGGCCTTCAGCCGCGCCTGCGTAGTTGGAGCCGCGCAGAGTGTAAGCTCCAGGCCTCGGCCCCCGCCTCCTCCGCCGCCGCAACACCCCCTCCCCAGAAGAGTTCCCACTGCGCACGCGCAGTACTTAACGGCCGGTCAGGAGCCCAACAATTAGTCCGGTCTCATCCAAGAAGAAACTCTTAAATTAGAAGAAAAGGTAGTGAGCGCTCTCTTTAATAACATTTCCCTTTTACAGACAGCACCGCTCTGATTCACCAAGTCAGGCAGACACTGCTGCTTTAAGGGAATGAGGTTCCAGCAGTCACGCCAAGCAGCGTACGCAGCCTATTTAACTCATGGTACCTAGGCCACAGCAACCAAGAGGTTTGTAATAATCCAGCAAATCCCCACGTGCAATTGTTCTTCATCACTTACCCACTCTTGTTCCGGAACACCGCTGTCGCCACGGTTCTTGCAATACCTCTCCAACCCTTTTCGATGCTTCTACTTCTTCACGAACAAGACAAGATGGCGCAGGATAGGACTCACCCGGAAGTGAATATTAATAACATCCGCTTGTCATCTGAAGCCATACTAGCACTCGTCCTTGCTTGTCGGCACGTCACTGTGGCGGATTGACAAGGTCCGATGCCATTTTTGTTATGGGCAAAACCACATCGACTTCTACAAGCGTTTGAACATTCCTATACATCACCTCTTAACGTAAGCTCGCTCCGGTGCCCTACGCATTTTCATCTTTATAGTGGGCAGAAAGCCAAGAGCCTAACTGTCCTACACAGAGGACGCCCTCAAATCTCTTACTTTAGTAATAAGCTCCTCCTTCAAGAGGACATGTGTATCCCACTCCCGCCCCTGGAACATTCCCGCTCTGGGAAAAAGGCTGAGTTCACGTCTCCACTTTCAGACTACGGAAGGACTTGAGGGTCAAACTGAGTCGTCTCTGGTCAGTTGCCGAGTGATCCCGGAACAGCTTTTTAGGCACGACAGGATTTGGCCCCAACCTTCTTGGAATACCCGAGACTGGAGCCTCATTGAACGCTGCCGAAGGTTCGGGGGAACAGGATATTTGTGCGGGTGGCCTGTTTGGGTCGATAGCCAAAGTGGAGACTTTATCTGACCCACAGCCATCTGCCGTCCCCTTTGTTAACCCAAAGCATGGCGCCCCTTCTGGAGATGTTTGCTCAGCTCTACTTGGCTCAGCTAGTTCTTAAATTTCTTTATCTGTGACCTTTAGGAAATAGTGTTCGGAAGTCTTCTATTCCCTTTTCCTCCCGAAGGGCATATGCAGTGCAGTTCCTTAGAAAACTTTGACTCCACAATTTTAATATGAACAACATTTGTCTATCAAAAGTACCAATTTACATACTAGGAATTTCAAATTATAAAAAAGTGTCCCCAAAATGTAGTATTTATTTCTTGGCTAATCGTGGGTAAATGCCTTTCCTGAGGTGACAAATTTTTGCATAACTGAAGAAAGTCTGCACTAAGAATCTAAATCATTTCCTTGGGAGTTGGTGGGCGGGAGAATTCTGCAGATTACTGTAGAGTCAAGAGTACTACTAAATGAATAACAAACATAAGTATATGGCCCACGATTGGTCTCACCTTCAAGGAATTATTACTAACATCTGCTTGTCATCTTTAAGGGAGAGAATATGGGTGCCCTTTATCAGTGTTCCTTGCTAAAGCACTCTGAACCCAGAAACACCTGGATTATCATCAGAATGAAGTCCTCACTGGCTGAAGATCTGCTGGTCCTCTTTAGGAATTAAACCAGAAACAATGCAACTCTTAGAAAAAAAAATGTATGGCCAACATATAGGCACAGGCAATGACTTTCTCAGTAGGACCCCTAAAGCTCAGGAAATAATGCCAAGAATAAATGGGATGACATGGAATTAAAAAAGTTTCTGCACAACAAAGGAAACAAGAATGTGAAGAGAGAATCTACAGAATCAGAAAATCTTTGCTAGGCATTCTTCTAACAAAGGATTAATATGTGGAATATGTAAAGAACAAAGTTAACACCAAAAAAAAAAAAAAACAATTAAGAGATGGACAAATGAACTCAACAGATAAGTCTCAAGAAAAATACAAATGGTCAACAAATACATGAAAAAGAAAAGTTTTAAGATGATTAGCAAATCAAAGTTACACTGGGATTTCATCTCACTCCAGTTAGAATGGCAGCCATAAAGAGTATGAACAATAATAAATGCTGGAAAGAATGTGGAGAAAAGAAGTCTCACGCTATTGTTGGGAGTGTAAATTTGTACAATCTTTGTGCAAATCAGTATGGTGGTTCCTCAAAAGATTAGGAGTGGAACCGCCATATAACCCAGCTATACCACTAGGTGGTATTTATCCTAAAGAATTAAAGTCATCGTATTTTGGTGATACAGACATACCCATATTTATAGCAGCACAATTTACAACAGTGAAACTATGGAACCAGCCTAGGTGTCCAATGGTTGAGTGGATAAAGAAAATGTGGTACACATACACAATGGAGTTTTATTCAACCATAAAAATGAAACTATATAATTTTGAGGAAAATGGATGGAACTTGAGAACATTATCTGAAACAAAAGAGGCCAAACTCAGAAAGTCAAGAGTTGTTTTCTCTCATATGTGGAAGCTAGAGAAAAAAAAAAAAAAGGAAAAGAAGGGAGAATCTCATAAAAATAAAAAGGAGATGGGTAGAGAAAAAGGAACCAGGAGGGAGAGAAAGGGGAAATAGTGGAGAATATTGGCCAAATTATATTGTTATATTGTGTGAATATATGAATATGTAACAACAAATTCCACCATAATGTACAATTACAATGCACCATTAGAATTATGGGAGAAAAAGTCATCATATTTGGCATAACCAAGTTTATAGCAGTACAGTTTACAATGGCTGAACTATGGAACCATCTTAAAGTGTGTGATAATGGATGAATGGATAAAGAAAATGTGATACACACACACACACACACACTGGAGTTTTATTCAGCCATAAAGAAGAATGAAATTCTGTCACTTGCAGGGAAATGGATACTTGAGAACATTGTGGCAAAACAAGTCAAACTCAAAGTCAAGCATGATATGCTTTCTCTCATACATGGAAGCTAAAGAGAAAAAAGGAAAAGAAAGGTTTGTGTGTGACAACAAGGGGTGAGGGGAAACCTCGTGAATATCAAATGGAGATCAACAGAGTAGAGGAGAGGGACTAGGGAGAGGTAGGAAGGAAGGAAAAGGGGAAATATGGGGAATGGTATTGGCCAAATTATATTGTATGCACATACAAATATATAAAAACAAACCCCACCATTATGTACAACTATAATGCACTAACAAAAATATGGGGGAGGAAATGTATGCTGTAGCATGATGCCTGAATGTTTTGCCTGGCTTGCTGCTTTTCTAGGTTTGAACTCTGGTAGACTTCAAGGTTCTCCAAATTGGCCAACCCTCATGATGAACTCTTTGAGTGCAAGAGGCTGGAGGCAATGTCAGGAGAAGGCAAGATGCTTGGATTCTGGTGTTAAAAGAGGAAGAAGTGGAATTATTCAGAATACATGCACACTTACTTGTTTCAACTGATCCCATCTTCATAGGTTGCTTTCCAACTTTGGAACTGCTTCTTACTTTGGCTTTGTCTGTTTATATTTCCCTTAACTTTCTGGCCATAAAATATTTGAGTCAGCAGGGAAAAAAAAAAAAAAAAACTCCTGGTCCTCAAATCAAAATATAAATTTATTTTGGGAGAACAGTTCACTAATTATGGAGGTTCACTAACCAGAATGTGAGTTCATGAGGATATTACTAGAGGAAAAAGGAAACTCATTTTCTTTGACCCTTTCCTTGATTACAAGCTAGCACAACTAAGACTACTAAACAGTCTAATATGCTTCTAAAAGTCACTTTATGGAGCAAAAACTAGAAGAATATATACCACATTATTAGTAATTATCTCTGGTTTTCTGTATTTTCCAAGTTTATTTTCATGAGAAACATTTAATTGGAGAAATATTCTATCAGTGAAACCTGACTATCATGTTTCTACTGCCTATAATCAGCCTGTAATTGTTTGCTTATTTCCCTTGTAAAGTTGAGGTAATTTGGGGGGTCAGGATTTTTTTTCCCACTTCTGTACTCCACATGCGAAGAACACACAGAAATATTTACATTTGTCAAATGATTGGATTTATATTTTGAGCAATGACCTTAATGTAAGCCAATCATTTTGGATATCCATTGCCAAACGGAGGGGATGATTAAATGCTTCACTTTTTGTTCCTTGGTGCCAGTTTAATAATACACTAAGCAGTCCCATTTACAGACCAAAAATGAGTTTTATTCCATTTCCCTTTCCCTAACCATTCTTCCAGAATTTCCCTGTAACAGGACATGATGGTGACAACACATAAGTGTTGGAATACTTTGTATTTCAACCCCAAATTTTCTCAATGTGTATGCTGTTGTGATAAAGTGTCTGTGTAAACAGCTATCACATATGAACTCCTGTGCTTTAGTCATCCTGCACCCTGATTATCAAGTGCTATTAGCAGCCACCATCTTGCCAGGGGTATCTGGTATCTGCTAACGATCAAGGGACTTTGAAAATTAATTTTTAAATTAACTTCCAGTTTGCAGTGTTGGAGGTAGGAAATTTTAGAGAAAGATATACTTTAGTACCTTGGCTCATGGAGAGAAATTGTCCTTAAAGTAAAATGGAATAAAATGTTGATATGAGATGTGGAAAAAATACAGAAATAGGAACTATTCCTGCTTTTCAATATTTGAACCTTTATAATGCTACTAGGTTCCATGCCACATCTTAAACCTCAAAAATTTACAGTTGTGATATACATATGCAGAATATTATTTAGCCTAAAAAGAGAACAAAATTCCAGTACAGCTGGGTGTGAACACAACTGTAATCCTACTGGCTCCGGAGGCCAAGGCAAGAGGATTGTGAATTCAAAGCCAGCCTCAGCAAAAGCAAGGTGCTAAGCAACTCAGATCCTGCCTCTAAATAAAAAGTAGAAAACAGGGCTGAGGTTGTGGGTCAGTGGTTGAGTACCAAAAAATCCCCAGCACAAAAAAAAAAAAAAAAAAAATCCAGTACATGCTTAAATATGGATGAACCTTAAAAACATGTTGGTGAATTAAACCAGACACAAAAAGATAAATATTGTATCATTCCACTTTTATGAGGTATCTACACTAGGTACAATAGGTAAATACAGAGAGTAGAAAAGAGGTTGTCAGGAGTTGGAGGAAAATGGGAGTGGGGAGTTGTTATAGTTTAATGGGTATAGAGTTTCTATTCAGAATGGTGAAAGGATTCTGGAAATGATGGTGTGGTTTGCACAACAATGTGAATGTACTTAATGCTACTGAATTATACACCTAAAAATGGCTAAAATGGTAAATTTTGTTATATGTATTCTTCCACATTATAAGCATATTTAACATACTATAAATTATTATGAACTGCAACTCTTTTAATTATTCAGTAACTACTTATGAATCTTTTGGAAAGTAGTGAGACTTTCTGGCATAATGAAGTATGAGGTGGACATGAAATAATAATTGGACTGGGGGAATAGATTGCCTAACATGCACATGACATCGAACCCCAGCACCACAAATAACAAAAACAATTTTAATTATTTAATGATAGACCATGCTGAGATTTATGCAGGTATGGGTCATTTAGGTCAGACTGCAGAAAGACTGCATATTCTTATCTAAAATATTTTATGATTCAAGCTACTGTTCCCATATTATTGTTCACTAATACCTGGTTCTCCTTGTACTTTCAGTACACAGAAGACTGCACTTCTAAGCTCTCTTAAAGTAAGAGAGGACTTCATGAATTAGTTTTGGCCATTGCACTATAGGTTAAGTGATGAAGTCATTTTGGGACCTGAGTTTACAAGACCTGCTACAGGGTCACTAGACTGTATATTTCAGATACTGTAACAAGTTCCAGATAATGCATGTTTCGGAGGATTGGCAAATCCTCTATCAGCTTGTATCTCTTTGAGTTGCTGCATAGTGAAAGTTGCCAGAAAAATTCCCAAATCTTCCAAGGACTTTACAATGACAAAAAAAATAAGCAGTTGAGGTTCTGAAATCACTTACTATAGAATAAAGCTAACCTAACTTGAGATATTTGTAATAGAAACTGGGTGTTGCTCAAATGAAAAACCTGTAATAAAAAGCATTAGCTTAAAACAGAAATTTCAGTTTAGAGGTTGGTTGGTAGACATAGAAAACTAACATTGGAGCCTATAAACATAGCATTTCACATTATACAATGGTAAAACATTAAATAAAACTATTGCCCATGATAATAAGAGGGGAAATAATACATATAATGAATTTCAAGTTAGGGGAAGAGATTGAAAAACAAGACACTAGTGTGTGGTAGATGGTATTTGGAAGCAATTGGCAAGGTATTCTAAGAAAAAGTAACAATGGACATGGTGGTGCAGGTCTCTAGTTTGAACTGTGTGGGAGGCTGAGGAAGGAGAATCACTTGAGCCTAAGAGTTTGAGACCAGTTTGGGCAACAAAACAAGACCTCACCTCAAAAATCAATCATCTAGCTAGGTGCACATACCTGTAATCCTAGGGGTTCCGGTGGCTAAGACAGAATGATTGCAAGCCTCAGCAAAAGCACAGTACTAAGAAACTTAGGTAAGAACCTGTCTGTAAATAAAATACAAAATAGGGCTGGGGATGTGGCTCAATGGTGTAGTGCCCCTGAGCCCCGAGTTCAATCCCTGGTACCAAAAAATAAAACAAAACAAAAAAATGCAATCATCTATCTATCTATATCAGAAAAAAAAAAAGGGTGGCTTGTGAGGTCACAACAGGATAGATTAATGGCAACCCAAAATTTTGAACTTCGTGCAAGATAGCATTACTCCTAAAAGGAAGAGGTAAATTTAAAAATGCTTTTAAGTGACAAAAGATCATTAAAACTCAGCCTTATACCAAGGGTCACAAGTAAAGGCATAAATTTTTCATCTATTTTGGAATTTTTTTCAATGGATTAATTAAAGGTATGGAATCATAACTTCTTACTCACTTGGAGGGAAAAAAAAAATGCCTGAGTGTGAAAATGTGGTTAAAAGTATGCTTTTCCGGGCTGGGGATGTGGGCTCAAGTGGTAATGCGCTTGCCTGACATGTGCAGAGCGCTGGGTTCGATCCTCAGCACCACATAAAATAAAATAAAGATGTTGTGTCCACTGAAAACTGAAAAATAAATATTAAAAAATTCTCTCTTAAAAAAAAAAGTACGCTTTTCCCACCAAATCTTATAAATGAACTGCCACAAAGTAAAAACAAACAAACAAACAAAAAAAAAAAACAACGTGGGACAAAAAAGTAAGGTAATACAATTAATTAATTGGCTTTTTTTTATCTGAGGGTTCCCTAGCTCCAAGTTCCACGTTCCTGAATTCAACCAAACCTACTGCATCTTGAAAATGTTTGAAAAAAATTGTGTTTGTACTGAACACACACTTTTTCTTTTTCCCTACCATTAAACAGTAGAGTTTAACAACTGTTTACATAGCCATTTACATTGCAATAGGTATTTTAAGTAACCTAGAGATGACTTAATGCAAATACTATGCCATTTTATATAAGGGACTTGAGCATCCTTAGATTTGAGAGGGGTGGGCCTGGAACCAATCCCCAAAGAACACCAAGGGAAAAATGTATATCCAACCCCAAAAATATATGTTTCAAAAAACTCTGGTATGGATACTGGCACATGGATCTGACTGGAAATATGCGATGCCTACTAAGTTTCTAAGAATTGCTCTGAAAGACAACCATGAACTTGACTAAAAGAATGTGCAACTATTCCAAATTAAAAAGAAAAAAAAATCAGCCCCAATCATCTAAGAAATGATACACACACACACACACACACACACAAAGTGCAACTCCCAATTATATATTCTTCAGCAGTCATTCCAATAGAAGTTAATTTTAAAAAACTCTCCTTCTGGGCTGGGGTTGTGGCTCAGCGGTAGAACACTTGCCTAGCACATGCTATGGGTTTGATCCTCAGCACCACATAAAAATAAAGATATTGTGCCCAACTAAAATAAAAAAAAATTATATATATATATAGAGAGAGAGAGAGTCTGGGGTCACAGAGAACAACGTCCAATCATGAACATATCCCCCAAACAGGACCCTGACACTATCTCCCATTCTTCCCCATTCTGGATTAGAAAGTTGATTATGGGCTATGGTTCCATCTTTTCCACCACCATTAAGCATGTGGAGAACAGAGCACATCATATTGGTTTCTGGGTCTCCAGGTGAATGGGGGCAAAAGCCTAGTCTTAGACAATAATAAAGTGTTGCATGGACAGGACTTCTGGGCAGTCCCTTGAACAGGAAGTCATTGTGTTCCATGTTTGGAAAAAGAGTGAGCTGAGTATTTGGTGACCAGAAGGGTGGATTGTGGTAGACACCTCAGTAAACTCACACATCCTATCTCCTTTTCTACTGAGCCCATGGGAAATTTCCTCTTTCCTATCTATCCTTTGTTGCAGTTAGGCAGAGTCATGTGACCAATTTTGTCCAAAATGAAGAACATAATCACCAGTGCAAGACCTCTTAGCACTCTCTTCCCCTGCCACAGAGAAGAGACTTGGTGTTGAAATGGTGTTGCCAAAGACTGAATCAGCCTGCATTATAGTTACAAGTTGGAAAACAGTTGCCTTGCAGATTGCTCACTTAAAGTTTACTGTGAGTCTAAGCAAAGAATAACTTAGTAATACTACTAAGAACAGGATTCATCATCATAACCCAGTCTATCCTAATAAATAGAGGAATGCAAACATTTTGGACCATTTTGTGTGGCTGTAATTGAAAAAACTGTATGAAAATGGTTTCAGGGGTTACTTGAACCTCTGAAATTACATATCAAACAATAAAAGGGACATAAAGTTTTGGAGGGAACATACAAATGTCAAGCTTTTCCTTCCCAACCTCTACATTGATAGAGAGAAGGCCCAGAGAGCTTCCTTGATTCTTTCGCCACGTGAGGAAACAGTGAGAAAACACTAAAAATCAGAAGTATTCCTTCACGAGATCCTGAATCTGCTGACAACTTCATCTTGGACTTCCCAGCCTTTAGAATTGTAGGAAATTTCTGTTGTTAATATGTCACCAGTTTATGATATTTTTAGCCCAAGGGACTAAAACACAAGGAAGTACAATGTTGACAGATAAAGTATTCTGTTAATAACATGCAGTGCAAAAACTCCAAGACCAGTCTTGTAACATAAGATGAATAAGAATTTAATATTTATTATGATGTTTATACAGTAACAACAAAATAATGCTCAATAAATTACATAACTATTTTCTAAAAACACTGCAAAAAAAGATAAAACAGTAGGAATGACATTATGAATTTAATACTCAAAATTTAAAATATAGTCCTATATCTTTTAAACAGATTTGAACTGATAATTTCTACATGAACAAAAACATTTAAAATATAGAAATAGTCTTTCTTAATAACGTACTAGACACTATCTAAAGGTTCAATTTTTATTGCACATTTTGGTTTAAGCTTATTTGATCATGTACCATGCAGAAAAATAAATTATGAAATAAAGAAAAATAGGGAGGATGTTACTTTGTACTACAAAAATTAGATGAGGGATAATACACTTCATTAATCTTCAGGAAATTTTATTTAACTATTGCATAAAACCACTGGTTAAAGTCATTACACATTCAAACTAAGAGCTATTAAATGTAGTAAAATAGCTCTGCTGGTACATAAACTATCCTTTTAATTGATACCAGTTATCACTCTCTTTAGTCAACTAAAGAGATTGTCTTCACATAAATTTTAAAAAATACTAAATGATAAAAACTTCGGTGTATATGTATATTTGGTTATGTCAAAATATTCACATAATTGGCACATAATCAAAATGTTATCATTTTAAATATGGAAAAACTAGAAGGATCTGGGGCTAGACATACCCTGTAAACAACTTTCTAAACAGAGCTAGCAAACTTCTGTTTTACTTCACAAATGTATTCAGTCAACACTATGGTAGTTGTATTGAATGTAAACATTCTAATTTATTTATACTGTTTCCTGAGGTAATCCAGAAACTATTGTTATTACAGTAGTCTCACAATTTAATATCCCTGCAAATGTGCTTTGAAAAAAATTCAAAATGAAAACAAAAATTTAAAAGTAGACTCAGACAGGCTCATGCCTGTAGTCCCAGAGATTCAGGAGACTGACGCAGGAGGACTGCAAGTTCAAGGCTAGCCTCAGCAACCTAGTAAGACCCTGACTCAAAATTAAAAATAAAAAAAGTTGGGGGTATAACTCAGTGTAGAGTGCCACTGGGTTCAATCCCCAGTACCTCCCCCGGGTCAACACACACAACAGGACTCATGGAATTCAGCATGCTCTATTACAAAAGCTACATTTAGGAAAGACCTAGGTTTCAAACTCAAGTTTTTTTCCTATTTTCAGATGACAAGAAAAAAGCATTTCATAAACTCCAGGCCATAAGAAAATAGATTTCAGAATTGGCTCATTTAATACTAAAGGAAATGAAAATAAAAACATCTGATTTCCAAGTTACTGGTAGAATAATGTCTAAAATCTATATATATATCCATCTTTCCATTTTAAAAGATAATAAAATAGTGTCATCACAGTACATGACCCATGGCAGGTACAGATGCCTCATCTAGATATCTATCTGAAACAAAAAATGGGTGCCTATCCAGTGAAAATAGTCAAAATGACACTTAATAGTCAAAATGAATGAGGTGACATTATTTCAGGGTGGGGACGTTGCTTGTTGGCAACTGCTATTACCAAAATGGCTAATTCAAAAAAAGAAAAAATAAATTTAATATTTTTCAAAAAATCATTGCTCTGGTAATAAAATCTTCATCGTTAATGGATTACAACTAAATAGAAAATACTAAAAACTTCTTTTACACAACAAATTGATCCTACTAACAAAAATGTATTTCTCCATTGAAAAAAATTATACTATTAGACAGGTGCAGGGGTACACACCTATAATCCAACAGCTCGGGAGGCTGAGGCAGGAGGATTGTGAGTTCAAAGCCAGCCTCAGCAAAAGCAAGGTGCTAAGCAACTTGATGAGACCCTGTTTCTCAATAAAATACAGAAAATAGGGCTGGGGTTGTGACTCAATGGCCGAGTGCTCCTGAGTTCAATCCCAGTACCCCCCCCACCAAAAAAAATTTTACTACTGAAATTTCTACAGCTTAAAAACAGATTTTATGCAATGACATTTTGAAGCTCTTCGTTTTGTATACCACCACCATTTTTAACACTAACTCCAATTCCATTCAATCGTGTATCAAAAGGTAGCACTGGTAACCTTGATAATGTACACTTACATCTTAAAAAAAAGGTCAGTCTTGGTAAAATATTTCTACACATTATCTACAGCCACTATTCCTATCCTTTTTTCCTTTCTAAAAAAAAAATATCTGACACTTGCCTATATATCATTCATTGGCACTAATGATTAGGATGCTAGAACCATAAAATTATGTTTTGATTCAATAATATGACACTGAAGTTGCCATGATTTTTTGAAATTTAAGCCTGAGTAATAGTAATATTTTCATACTAAGTTTTTAAAGCTTGATAATTTGTGTTCTAGAGGTGGGGGAGGTACTGCATTTTTGCTGTTAATTATTTAAAAGAGAACAGAAGTGCCAGCCCTGTGCCTCATTAAAGTGAAAACTAAATATACCTGAACTTTTAAAAGATATTTGTTAAAGACAAAAAAAAAAAAAAAAAAAATGGGGGTTTCTTTATACCCCAAAACCATGTTTAATATTTACTTAAATACAGAAATAGAAGGTGTTCCTTGTTAAGTATAAGAATTCTCTATTATGCACAAACATAATTTGCTCATTTATATTTCAAAGACATCCAATGATCAGAAACGGATTATCAACTTCTGTTTATAAATTCTCTACGTCAGTTATCTATAATTATATTTTGATCTTGGCCAGAAACTTGCAAATTATGTTTAACTCTATCATGAATAAGCTGTAAATGGTTTGTTTATAAAATGTTTCAATATTCCCCAAACCTCAAAGCTATAAGCTAATCAACACATTATTTGTAAACCCACACCACCAAAATTACAGTGATACCTTTTTATATGGCTAAATTATATAAAATATGACAAAGTAACTATGTTATATTAGATATTACTTCATATAGTTATGGCAATGTTTTCTAAACAATAATACACATATGCCACTAGACAGCCCTGAGATGATTTTAAGTGGTGTAGTACATGGATGAGTAATTTTTCCTTAATAGTTTTAAATTTATTTTAATGTTTATTAGAAAAAATAAGTACATAAAATGTGAAATATTATTGCTCAAAACAAAACCATGGTTTAAAAAGGCTAAAACATTTTTTTAAAATTAGTAAATATAGCACAGTATATGTTACATGAGATCTGGAAAGTGGTAATGCATTTAGGAAACACTATATTAAGGAATGATTTGATTTAGCTAGTATTATTTCTGAATGTTTGTAATAATGAGCCATATCAGAAAGGGACTTCCTCAACCACTAAAAATTTTGATTATTTTGTCCCTAAAGACAAATATTTTTTAAAAAAAGTTCTTTACATTTAAAAATATGAATTTGAAAGCACAGAGTAAATTTAGTTTACTTTAAAAGGATTCACCAAAATGGTGAAAAAGTTAAGGAGCATTGAGTGACATGCTATTCCAATGTAAAAGAGAAGACTAAAGGCACATTACATATTATGGTTACCACTGCAGCATTCAAATAAAAGTGAGCTAAGTAATCACTGCCATTAAACAAATCATTACAATATTCTTTCATAAAAAAGAAGATAAGCTTGTGCACTAAGTGCTCTCGATTCTGGAACCACCTGCACATAAGTGTCACTAACATGGACCCACTGGCCTCCTGATTCACTATCTGGTTCTTTCAAACCTAACAAAAAAAAAAAAAAGAAGTAAAATTTTACAGTAAGCATGTTTTGTGTTCTCTAAATATAAACAGCAACATGTTCATTATAAAGTACACTTATCTACTGGCAGATTTTATTCTCGGATTCTGTTTCCTCTTGCATTAAACATTTTCCACAATGAACCAATTCTTTCAAAGCATGAGTTTTATAATTAATTATCCTCAGTTAACAGAACTTTAATTTAAATATGTAGCAAAATATTAGCCTTGTAAATACTTAATTGCTCAGAGAAAAGAATCATTTTCACTGAAAAAGGGAAGGAGCTAAAGTTAATTTGATGATCCATAAGTAAAGCCAGCAAATTTCCAACTCCTACTGTATTCTGAGGACCAGGTGGGTCTTCAAAAAATTTGGGTATTGTTAAGTAAAATAGTAATTCTACTGCAATACATGATGATTCAAAACCTTGAAAATTATGTGTCACCTCGTATCACCTACGAGTATATTCTTTTTTAATTTTTTAAAAGAGTATAGTCTTATGATAATTAAGATTTTCAAATTATCTAAACACTCTTAAGACATAACTTGCATTAAACATTGATAAAGTGAATTCACCTGAGGTAATATCTTACTCCTTCCAAAAAAGAAATAGTAAATTACCTTACTTTTAAGAATAAAAAATACTTAATATGGCATACCAGGTACATTTTTCTTTCCGGTGATATGTTCCAATAATTTCCTGGAGGGTACTCTCACTTTCACATAAGCAGTGTAATGCCCTCCTCTCATTGAGCCACTGTGTTCCACTATGCCATAGAGACCATAGAGAACTTTGTCTCCCACACTTACATTCTTTTAAAAAAAGGAAAAACACAAATTAGTAATATTTAATGAAATATTCTTATAAGAAAAGGTAAATGTATATCCCACTTAAAATAAGAGAAATGCATTATTAAAACTACACTGAGATATTTCCCCTATACCTATTAAGCTGGCAAAAATGCAAAAGCTTGATAAGCTTCTCTGTTGGCTGGTTTGCAGAGAAAAAGACTGCTTGCTGAGAAGTTGCATGGGGGAATATGAATGGGTCCACCCTTAGGCAAGGATATTTCATGTTATATAGCTAAGTTACATATGTATTACTGTCGGATTCATCAATTCTGCTTCTAGGACTGTATCCCAGGTACATAAGAAAAAATATAAAAAGACATATACCAGACTATTAGTTGCAGGATTATGTGTAATATCAAAAGACTGACGTAGACTCAAATGTCCACAATTAAGAAATGGTTGAATAAACTATGATGCATCCAATTCAATTCTGCTTCAAAAATGGAGTGCCAGCCTGGAGAGTAGCTCAGTGCTAGAGCATGTGTTTAGTATTCACAAAGCCCTGAGTTTAATTCCCAGGAAAGAAAGAAAAGAAAGAAGAAAGGGGAGGAGGGAGAAGAAAGTGCATACTCTCTCTAAACACTGCTAGGAAATAATCTCCAGGATGTAATGTTAAAAATAAAGTAGAAAACAAGGACACGTGGTGTAAACTACCATTATTTAAGAGGGGGGGGATGCAAATATGCATACCCATCTGCTTATATTTTAAAACAAAAATAAAACATAATTTAACATGTTAATCTATAAAAGGAGGGAATAAACAGGTGAAATGCATTAATTTTATCTTGTTTAGTACATTTGATACACTTGGCTTGGGAATTATGTAAATATTTTATTTAAATATTAAACAAAATTAAATTTTAAAAAGTAAACACTAAGCAGGGAAATTTGAAAATACACAAATGAACAATATATTCAGTTGATGGCATAATCCATAAAGAGAGAACACTAGGGTCATGTCATGAGAATCCAGAAGCCAACTTGTAGTGATTTTCAGTGGTCAGATATGGGCACAATAGACTGGATACATTAGATCATGATTAAAAAGAACAACATAATGAATTGGAACATACGTATTTAAATCCATGAATCCATAATCAGAATATTGTAATTTAATCACAGTTTGAGGAAATAACTAATGAAATAATTCATTATTTTTAAAAAATGATTTAGAAAGAATCAAACATTTATCCTGCCTTTTCTATAACAATTATACCATAAGACAACTAAACAGAAGAAAGGAATTTCTCTTTATATATTCAAGCTAATAAATGAAAAAAAAGTTCAAATTAAAATACCCCACCATTCTGTAATTCTTAATGAACTCATGGATCTAGTATTGAGCATTACTGGTTGCTAATATCACACAAAGATGGATAATTGATATGCTGTGCTTCCTGACAAAAGAACAGAACAATCCCTATAAAATAGCCTTACCAGAAATGGTGGGGTGGGGGGTTGCTATTAAATGTGAATTATATTCAGCCCTCTCCAGGTCTAACTACCTATCTGTAAAAATAAAAATGACAGGGGTAACAATCATAAAAATATCAATTATGGGAAATTCCAAGAAAGATGACCTGATTTAACAAATAAACTACGAGAGAGGAGAGAGGCAGGAGAGGAAACACTACCCATTGGAAATACTGAGGATATAGCTCAGTTGGTAGAGTGCTTGCCTTGCATGCACAAGGACCTGGGTTCAAGCCCCAGCACCAAAAAAACAAAAACAAAACAAAATAAAAAAACACCCTAAAACAAAACAAAACAAAACTTTGCCATGTCTTAAAAGACATCATTCATTCATAACTTATGGGCCTTATTTGGTTATCAATTCATTCTAAAAAATCACATTTGAAATAGTTGGAAATATGAAGATTAGATGATTGAAGAAATTACAATAAATGATACTGTGATTATGTCAAAAAGGATAGGGAGCATGTCTTTCCTTTTAGAGATACATAATAAAATATTTATGGATTAAATGTTAACAACAGAGAAGAACATAAAGGAACATGTAGATGGGGGAGGACCTGCCATAAGGTTTTAAGGCTGGGCGCTGGAGGTTCACTGTACTCTTCTGACTACTTTTGTGTATGTTAAAAATTCACAACAGGCACTTTAAAAATGTAACGTTCTTTTTTTTTTTTTTTTTGGTACTGGGGATTGGATCCAGAGGCACTTTACTGCTGAGCCACACAACCCCAGCCCCTCTTTATTTTTTATTTTGAAACAGGGTCGCACTAAGTTACAATCTCAACCTCCTGAGTCACTGGGATTATAGTCATGTGCCACTGGACCCGGTTTGTTCCCATAAATTTAACACGAGGTCTGAGATGTAACTCAGTGGCAAAGCACTTGCCCAGCATGTGCAAGACCCTGAATTTGATCCCTACTACCCCAAGTTAAAAAAAAAAAAAAAAGCAAAAAGCTTACTAAATTTCATTATTATTTACCACATTACCAAATTTTAGGAATATTAAGTATTACTAGTTGCAGATAGTATTGGTATCCCACAGCAGATAAACTAGACTCATTGGAAAATTGCATTTAAAATATTTTTGTTTTGATTGGTCAATGTACTAAAAATATTAACTTCAAAAAGCATTCTACTACATAACCACAAAACCTGAACAGGACATTATGTTACCTTATAATAGTTTGGTTCCCATTAGTAATCAATTTTATCTCAACAATTCTTACATGTACACACAAGCAATTATTAAACATTGTTTTCTATACCTAATAAGGTATGAACAATTTTGAAGTATTATACACAGCAGACAAGTACAGCTTTGATCTTTGCGATTATCATGCCTCATGCTTTGTTCATCTTTGTCTCAAAGGACAGAAGTCAGATTCAGTGTATTAAATGTGAAAAAAAAATTACTGGTTTACCTTCATTATTAAAATTTCCTTTCAGAGGAGCAGCTTATTTTTAAAATGACAACAACAAAAACAAAAAGTGCAAAAGCATGGCCTAATAAACAAAACAGATATGCTTTAAAGCATATTATTTGCAGGTCAGTTAAATAACTTAATATACTGTACCTTACAAGCAGCAGAACAGAATGGTGCTAAATCAAGCGTAAGTGGAAAATCTACATGTCTGTTTACTTTACGAAGACTCAAGCCAGCCTTAAAAATACCAAAAACAAATTTTTAATACAACTTAATTAGCTCTAAAGACTGGGTTAATTAAAATCCCAAAAGGAATTCTAGAAGTTATTTTTTTTTCATATAGATAAACAAACGTGACTAATCAAGAGTCCAAAATTCATATGACTAAGTTAAAAATCAGGTTTTCATACATTGCTACTGAAAAGAGTACTCATTTACATGGAGATTTTTACCATGAACAATAAGGGAAATGATTACTTTCACTGTGGCTTATCAACACTTATGGAAAAATAAATTTAATCTGTTAAATGTTAAGCTACTAACATATGTGCTTTCATGAAAATGTATCCAACTGAAGAGTCAAATCCCTGGTATTCTGGGCCTAATTCAATGACTTGTTAACAGTGAACTTGCCTCTAAACAACCTCATTTAGGTGAATGCTGAAAACAAGGATAAACTGATTATATTATGTCCTTTTCTAAAATTCAGTAAGTTTTATTTTTAAAATTCAATAATATTCATTCGCTAAAAAAGAAAAAAAAAAAAACCTGAGCACTTGAAACATTTATCAGTAAAAGTAAATGTAATATATATAAATCTTCATGTTCTTAAATAAGCTCTACCTCTTTTTATGTTTTTAATTTCCAAAGCCAAACCTTGCAAAATGTATGACTGGCATTATAAAATGGTAATAAAACAAGCTGATAGACTACAGAATATATTGGGTAGGAGACCTATAAATGGACACTACTGGAATGAGAAAATACTTAAATCTGAACTGTCTAGATAGACTCTCTAATAGACACCTCCTTTCACAGGACTTTCATGACTTTGGTTTTTCCATTGCAAATCACATAATTTCACTGTTGATCTGCTGCTTATTTCTTGTTTTTCTTTAAAGTAAGAAATAAGATTATTTGGTTATTTTTTGGAAAATATAACCAATAACTGATTTGTTTTTGTTTTCTCAAATGATCTTTAGAAAGTTCAACATGATATCTGACATAAAATTTTATGAGGTCGTATCTCAAGAATAAATATTTGAGGCTGGGGATATAGCTCAGTTGGTAGAGTGCTTGCCTCACACGCAACAAGGCCCTGGGTTGAATCCCCAGCACCATACACACACACACACACACACACACACACAATAAATATTTGATCTACTTTTAATTATTTTTTCTCATTTTTAATCAGGTGACATTTATAATTTTCCAATACATGTACTGTAATTGTTTCAAGTTTTTGTATCCTCCACAATCAGGACTTCACTGCTGAAAAACCATCCCATATAGAAGATATTTTGTAAAGGCTTTTAATATTAGATGAATCTTTTCACAGAGGATAATTTTGGAAAAATATCTAGCCTTATATTTGGGCATATGCGCTCTCCTGACTTTTTAAAATTTTTAATAGAATGAGACACAATATTTTCCTCATGTCATTAAAATATAAATCTGATGATTCATATACTGGATACCAAAGTTAGGCCTTGAACCTGTCATAATCTATATAAGTGGTATATGTAATTTTGTGTATATCTCTATTTCCTTGCAAGGGGTTCTTAGAAGTGAAATTACTTAAGAGTATTTTTATTCAAACACTGATTCAAATCATTTCTAATGTTCTTGATATCCATTACTAATTTACTTTCCAGATGGTGTTATCAATTTATATGCCCACTGCTGAACAATGAGAATGCATATATCCCACTCCATCCATATCAGCACTACTGTATCTTTGCTAATTTGAACACGCTAAAAAAGCGAATCTATGGATGTGTAACTGATGTGATTCTGCAATCTGTGTATGGGGTGAAGGTGGGAGTTCATAACCCACTTGAATCAAAGTGTGGAATATGATATGTCAAGAAATTTGTAATGTTTTGAACAACCCACAATAAAAAATTAAAAATATAAAAAAGCGAATCTATCATTTTACTTTATTTCTTTTGCTATGAACAATGCACCTATTTTTAATGTCTTGGAATCTGTACATCTTCTAGAACTGTCAACTGATATTTTTTATACATGTTACTGTTAGGGATATTTTCTAGCTAGTCTTTAAGAGCTATTTACATATTTACAATGTTAATCATTGGAATGTTTATGACAAAGACATCTATCCAGTTTGAGATTTGCCTTTCAGTATTGTGAAAGATTCTAATATTATAGAGAAATAGACTTTAAGAGAAACTAGAAACAGAGACATTACTTAGGGATTGTGCTCCCTACAATTCTCGATCCTTGGAAATTAGAATATAGCTTTGCAGACATTATGTTTCACTTGAGAACAAGAAGGGTCTGAGATGTTCATAAATATTTCCCTTTATGCACATGAATTTTCTAAGTTGTTCCTAAAGAGGGATTAAATACCAAATATAAAATAGCTATAGTACACTGTGAAATTAGCATCTACAATCCAAAATGATCCTCTCTTGTTCACAGAATCACTGCAGATGCAACCCTTCTGCTAGACATTCTTTTGCTTCTGTTCTCCATGGCCATTTCTATAATTTTGGCTATAGAGAATCAAAAACTTAATCTAATCTTTCTATAGACAGAAGTAGGGTCAGAGAAAAATCTTTTCCTGCCCCCTGAAATATTCAGTCAAAACTCTCAATCCAGGCTTGGGTTGTGACTCAGTGAGTGTATGATTAGAATGTGCAATGCCCTGGGTGTGTTCTGTGTGTGTGTGTGTGTGTGTGTCTCTCTCTCTCTCTCTCTCTCTCACACACACACACACACACACACACACACCTCTCAATCTTTTTCCTTAAGATTTCTTTCATGAATTTTACACTTAGAAAGTCTTTCACACAGATATCAGATCAAATACTCATTTTTTCTAGTCTTCTTAATAATTTGCTTGATGCATTAAAAATATATCTGAAAATCTGGGCTGAGGTTGTGGTACAGTGCTTGCCTAGCATGATGTGTGAGTCACTGGGTTCAATTCTTAGCACACATATAAATTAATAAATAAATAAAGATCCATCACCAAATAAAAAAATTTAAAATATATATGGGTATATGATACAAAGTTCTAATTATGTATTTTCCAAAGAAGCATTTTCCCTAAATCTTTTACTGAACAAATCTAGAATCATAATAGCTTTAAATTACACTCATGTTTTATTTTTGACATTTCCAACTAAACTCCTTTAACTACTATAATATTTTAACTTATTCATTTTCCAGAGAAATTTAAAAATAACTTTCAAAATGCAAAAACAATCCTCTTGAGAAAAGACACTGAATTAAAAACCACAAATAATTAGACAAAAACCTAACACATTGAAAGTATTTAAATTGGGATGGGCTTGGCGGCACCTGCCTATAATCCCAGCCACTCCAGAGTCTGAAGCAAGAGAATTGCAAGTTCAAGGCCAGCCTTGGCAACTTAGCAAGACACTAGATCAAAATAAAAACAAATTAAAAAAAAAAAAAAAGAGCTGTGGACGTAGCTGAGTGATAAGAGTGCCCTTGAGTTCAGTAACTAGTACTGCAAAAGAAAAAAAAAATTTAAACTGGACACTAGTGTGTAGCTACAATTCTAGCTACATGGGAGGGTGAGGCAGGAGAATCTCAAGTTTGAGGCCAACCTGGTCAACAGAGCAAGAACACATCTCAAAAAACAAAAACTACAACAACAACAACAAAAAAAGAAAATTAGTTTGCCTCCCATTATGAAGTTCTAAAAGTGTAGGACCTGCCTTGGAGCCATTCTTTATATTCCCAGCCAACACCGACAGCCAAGAACCCTTTCAGTGTGATCAGAAGAGCTCAGAAAGTTGAGTGTACTTTACTACTGTTCTGCTTATAAATATGTTTATTAAAACTTATTTTCTATCACACATACCAATCACAGACATTACTAAGGGTCCTACCGTCTAAATCTTCAAGTACTACAAATTAAACAATTTTAATCAGAAAAGTCTTGTAAACTATTATGGCTAAACTAGTAGGAAATCCTACGTGGCAAATTTTTAAAAAAATATTTTTTAAGTTGTAAATGGACACAATATCTTTATTTTATTTTGTATTTTTATGTGGTGCTGAGGATCGAACCCAGTGCCTCACATGTGCGAGGCAACTGCTCTACCACTTAGCTACAACCCCAGCCCCACATGGCAAATTTTTAAACTCAGTAAGTTACTCTCTAATCTTTGACAATATTCCCCAAAACACAGGACTCCACAAAACACCTAATGAAAATGAATGACTAGAGTTCTATAAAAGGACTTTTACCTGATGGAATCTTTTAAGATGGAGAATTAGAATAGCTGGAGCAGCAGAAATAAGCAATTGCTTCCTGGCATTAGTATAAACTCCTTCTGCTTTCTTTTCTGCATAAAAGCAACAAATTTATTTGTAAAAATTCCACATTATATATTACCTATAATATAATATAACAAGAATTTATATAGCAACATCATACCATTTTGTTTTAAGTGTTAAGAAATTGGACTTCTGATTACAGGGTACCTCTCTATTCCTTTCCATAACTCCACTGAGATGAAAGTAAAGATGTATGTTTGTTTGTTTGTTAAGGCATAAAGACTGGAAGAGGAGGCACAAGAAAATGTTGGATGCTAGAATGCTAATTACTTATTGTTAGTAGCCCCTTCCAGCCAAATACCACCAGAAGCAACTTTAATTTTAAAAGTTGAGTCTATTACTCATTGCAGCAAAGAGAGAACACACAACATGGCAAATCACGGGGCATTTCAGTAAGTTTGATAGAAAGGACTTATGACAAGATTTAAATATGGGCAATCGCATATTTAACTTGAATTAATTTAAGTTGGTACTTCTTACTTCTCCCATCCATCCATTTCTTTAATTACTAGTGTACTAAGCCTGTCTTTATTCTTATGCTTTGGATCAAGAGTTTTTTGTGTTTTTTTTTTACCATAACGGGACAACCCATTCCAGGGCTAGCTAAATCCTGGAAACAGTAAAACAATTTAAGCTCACCTTTCATGTGCAAACTAACCAAGCCCGTATACCAATAACAACATCCTTGATTGAGCTCTCACACTCTGGGCTACTCAGAGACCAAAACAAAGGATCTTGCCAATTTTCTGTTTCTCTTTCACTTTTTATGCTCCATCTGCCCCTAGTACTTCTCCATGTGGCCTTGTATAACATCTACCCCCCTACTTCTTGGGAACTGTGACTAATTTTTCAGTGTCAATCATTTCTTGATTCCTTGACTTCACCATACCTGAATAATAAAACCTACATGTTTAAAACAAATAGTCACCTTAAGCGTATTCTTTCCACTCAATTAAGGTGAGAGTGCACTGAAAATTCTTACTTAACAATATCCCCCTTTCCCACTTTAATCTGGTTAAACTAAACACAGTCATTGTATCACTAGCTTAATAACATGCAAATATTTAAAATCTTCAAATCTATACCTTGAGTTTACAACAGATGATGGGATTTCTGAAGGTCTTACTTTCACCAACAATCTTACTAGTGATACAACTAAGTTTTAGAGCTGTTTCTTTCAGAAAGATTTCAGATAGTTATTTCTTTCAAATAAGATGTGGATTTGCATTTTTCAAGGCAGAAATGTATACTTCATGATCTTCAATTATTTCAACAATAATCTATTGAAAATATTTTCTCCCTAGTGAGTGCCTCAAGTGCTAAGGCAAAAATACAAGATAATCACTGGGCCAACTAGCTCAAGTATGAAGATAAGGTTCCCAGGTGCTTGAATAGGGGATTAATAACTCATTAGTCACTAATAATCCATTAATAATACAAAAACAAATTAAGCTAAATGTTTACCTGCAGAATTATTTTCCTTTTGGTACTTCTGTTTCTTTTCAGTACAATTCTCACATAGAAGCTTATTATTCCCCATTAGTAATTCCATAGATGTAAACTGGTACAAACAGGACTGAACCGAACATTCTTTAGAAGTAGTTACATAGCTCTGAGAAAGGGTCTGAAAAGCATTCTGGGAACTGTGAGACCTCATATGCTTCTCCTCTGAAAAACATAAATTACTTGAAACACTGGGTAGCTGACTTTCTCTGTCAAAATCTCTATTTCCAATTACAGTGCTGCTCAAACAAAGTTCAGAAATTGCTTCAGCCATTTCCTCATCACCACTGTCAGTCTCCTTGGGGTGTGGCAGTTCACTTGCAGATGGGTGGTGAAGGTGCCCATCTGTGTACATACAGGATTCACTGCTGGATCTAAATAGCACAGTCTGCTTTGAAGCACTTTCAGATTCTGAAGCCTCACTGTCTGCATCAGCACTACTTTCAGAATGACAGGCTTCTTTTTCACTACCATCCGTAGGGCTTTCATTCAGAGATGACTCAGTACTCACGATGTTTGCATATACTGACAACTCCCCACTGGTTTCAAGGTTTTCATTTTTCTGATATATAAAAACAGTTTTCTCTTCCCCAGATGACAATTTTCTTATATGGTTTCTGTCATGAATTAGTTGATTCTGTAAGTTGACAGTGTTTTCAGAGAAAAGAATTTTATGACCTTATTGAAAATAAATGCTAAGAAGTCCCACTTAGCTGTCCACAATTGTTAAATAAGCACTACTTCTCTGAAAGTCATTTACTAAATCTAAACTTAAACTAAGATGAACAGAAGATATACTAACAAATAGTTCTAATTTATTTTTTAAAGGTGCATTTCTTTTTTTTTTAAATATTTATTTTTTTAGGTGTGGATGGACACAACAATGCCTTTATTTTTATGTGGTGCCGAGGATCGAACCTGGGTCCCGCCCGTGCTAGGCGAGTGCTCTACCACTGAGCCACAATCCCAGCCCCTCTAATTTAAAAGTAAAACTTAACATGGAAAACCAACATCTTCAGTAGAACAGGGCTATAAGGGGGACTTTTCAACTATAAGTCTTTCCATACTTGTTGATTTTTACATATTGAAGACGTAGTGGGTATTTTTAAATAAAAGTTAAAAAGTAACAAACTACAAACTCTATTATGACAGTGTTGCCTGCCGCCACTGATCTGAAAGAAAATATTTTATTTGTGTCTAGACTTTAGCTTGCCTATTAATTGCTGCTTTTAAATTAGATTAAGTAGTGCCAAAGTAGTGTTTCTTGTCAAGGTGATTATTTCTCCATTTGTATTTACGTTTCTATCTTGGTTTAATTTCTCACTGTTGTTTACTCACCTGATGCTTCTTTGTCATTCTTTGCATTAAACTCCATATTAAAGGATTAATGAGATAACTAGAACAATTTAGCAAAAAGAAAAAGTAAAAAATTCAATAATATAGCTGGCTTGGGAGGCTGAAACAGGAGGATCACAAGTTCAAAGCCAGCCCCAGCAAAAACAAGGTACTAAGCAACTCAGTGAGAGCCAGTCTCTAAATAAATACAAATAGGGCTGGGAATGTGGCTCAGTGGTTGGGTGCCCACCCCTGAGTTCAATCCCTGGTACCACCCCCCCAAAAAGAGACAATACAAAAATTTATTAAAGTTCAGTACTTATACCTCATTATTGATTTTAAAAGACACAAGGTGCTTCTGTTTTTGTTAAATTCACTTTAATTTGTATGGGGAAAGTTTATTTAAACCTCGAAAATATAAGATGAAAATGTTCAAAGAGATACTATCTTTCCTAGGTGTTCTTAAAATTCCCAGTGCTAAATTATGAGTCAACACCACATGATAAATAAGAATATTCTTGCAATTGTTTTACTTGGACTTAAAAACCGAAGTATATGTTTAATTTAATCCCTTGAAATATTTACATAGGATAAGTTGACAATTTCTCAAATATTTATGCATAATATTATAAGCAATTTAGCCCAGAAAAACAGTAAAATCCCTTTGAACGTGGAGGTTTTGTCTCAACTATGTTGCCAAGGCTAGCCTCAAACTATCAGGCACAAATGGTCCCCCTACCTCAGCCTCGCAAGTAGCTAAGACTATAAGTATGTGCCATTGCACTCAGCTCCTCAAGTCTTTTCTCTGTGAAATAAATCCCACATAAATCATACATGCTTCAAGGTGTATATTTAAAAGATATTCTTTAGGGGATGAGGGCACAGTGCAGTGGTAACGCACTTGCTCATGGCCCTGAGTTCAATACCCAGATACTCTTTGTAAAAACATAACCACAGTACCATCATCATACATTAAAAAATATTAATAATTTCTAAACATAAAATTTCTAATGACATTTATATTTAACTTTTTGCTTCTTGAATATGGCACCATAAAAAGACTTAACGGTTTCTAGAGAGTAGAAACCAGGAAGTATTCATTAGAACCAACTTGATTGAGAATACACCACCACTTATAAGTTTTCTTGCCAAAAAATTAAATAAATAATCAAATCTGAACCTAACATAGCTTTTAGATCTAAATCACTTTAGAGAGGAAATAAAGGAGACGGAAGAACCTGTGAATATCATAGGAATACAATAGTAAATATTACTTAATGTGGGAATGTGGAAAAATGCTAAAAAAATGGATGATTTCTTTGGTTAATAAATTGCAAAAAGAAAATGTGATTAAATAAAGAGTTAAAGACACATGATACTCTTTGGGCCCAGGTATTCTGGAGGTTAAGGCAAGAGGCCAGCCTGGGCATCCTAGCAAGACACTTTCTCAAAATAAAAAATAAAAAGGGTTGGAGATGTAGTTCAGTGATAGAGTACACTTGGACTAAAGTACCAGTACTGGAGGAAGAGAGAAAGAAAGAAAGACAGTCAGACACACACATACACACACACACACAATCCAGACTTTGGGGATGGTACAAGAAGATCTCAGAAATGACTGTCCCAAATTAACAAGTGAATTACAACTCCAAAAGGGAACATATGGAATATAGCCTTTGAATCACCTCTTTTAAAAGCCCCATGTTCCTGTGATGGGCAGAATCACAAACTTTGAGACAGGAGTCCCCTATGTTTCTCCTTTGCAAGCAAAGCAATAAACCTTCTTTTTCCTTTTTCTCAAAACAAAACAAACAAAAAAGAAAAGAAAAGAAAAACCTGAGTATTTATGAGGGAACTGAAGAAATTTCAATAATGACTGAATGCTTGGTTTCACAAAGAAGTATTAATATTTTTATGTATGATGATGGTACTGTCGTCATGTTTTTACAAAGGGCATTTGGGTACTGAATTCAGGGACTTGAGCAAGTGAGCTATACCCATGGCTCTTAAAGAATACCTTTTATTTTTTTATTTAAATGGAAATTATTATTTTAAAAATATCTTTGTTTTATTTATTTTTATGTGGTGCTGAGGATTGAACCCAGGGCCTCACATGCCCTAGGCGAGCACTCTACCGCTGAGCCACAACCCCTAGCCTCAAGAGTATCTTTTAAATAAATATCTTGAAGTATGTATAATTTTTGTCGGATTTATTTCAAAATAATCTGGGTGGGGAAGGGTGGAATGTGGGACAGATACTGCAAAAACATAATTAGCCATGAATTGATAATATGAAGCTGAGAAATGGGTGCATGGGAGTTTATTATATTATTCTCTCTACTTTTGTATATATTTAAAATATTTCTCAATAAAAAGTTAAAAAAACAAATATTTAACAAATGTTCATAGTCTCACCTTATCTTTTGATGAAGAATGCTTCTTGGCAGCTCTGGGTTGAGTATTTTCTATAGTAACAGTGCCACTGTACTGATCAGGATCTGTCTCCTGTAAACTTCTATATTTACTCATTTTTCCCAAAAGCACAGGTTTTGATACCTATGTAGATGCCATATACATAACACAAAACTTCTTAAGCAAATAAATTTTGGATATACCTTTCTTTTTAAAATCTCTTAACTCACTAAAAATATAAAAAGATTATTTTCTTAACATTAATTCTCAAAAGCATAAGGATTTAAATTCCTGGAGAATAAGAAGTATATCATACTTAATGCATACATGCATAAACCCCACTATCGAAACACCATACAAACTCAGTTATATGTAAAACATAATGACTCTCAGACATCTGACAATACACTCAAAAAATATCTAAATGAGTGAATAAATGCTCTTCACAAAGCCCTCAAAATTACTTTTTTTTCTCCTTACCCTTTCTTCTATTATAGGAAGTGAAATATCAATGAAAGGATCTTTCACAGTGGAGATCTTAAAAAGAAAACAAATTGAGAACTTCTGTTAGAATTATAATATAGACATGTAGTTCCGTAAAGTATCAAAGAAATCAAACTTCCCAGTTCAAAGTTTTAAATTAAAACAAAGCATGAAATGTTAAGGAAAAAAACCATGGGGAAAGAAGCAGAGACTTTGACAGTGTTTTGAAGATTGCTTAGGCTAATTGTTTTAAAAGATACTTTCTACCTTTGTGAGAGAGAAATCAACTTCTATGTTGGTTATTGCAGAAATTTAAGTTATAGCAGGTTGACACATTATGTTTAAATGGGATAGGCTAGAAGGATATATAATTTATAATCCTGATTTTATAAGACTAAAGAGGGCAGAAGAGTACTTCACAATCTGGGACAGAAAAAATGGATATAAAGACTCTTTTTTACCAATCAAGTCTGACAAAAGTTTAAATTTACCATACTCTAAGCCATATACTTTCAGAAGTATTCCTTATGAAGCGACTGAAAATCTCTAACAATTTATACATGCTTTAAGTTGTTAAAGATGAAATTTAAAATAAAAAGTATTACTGAATTCAAAGATGAGCCAAGACAAAAACAAAAAATGTTAGTAAGTCTTATAGATATAAAATTGAAATTAAGTGTTATAGAATCACCCTAAATTATGTTACGATTATGTCTATACAATGTAACATAGTTGCCCTTCACAGAAGTAGCTAATGTATTTTAGCAAATTAAGATAGACCAAAAGCACCTCATGGATGTGTCAAGAAGAAAAATAAAATCATAAACATAACATATTTACTTGAAAAAATAATTTTAAATTATGTTTACTTTCTAGGAGTATAGGGTATATGTTTAAAATGACTTTAAAGATTAAGTCATGTAGTCACTTATTGTGAATTTTAAAAATGACTGCTCATTAATATATGTAAAAGAAAACATAATAAAAACGATGTGACTGTAATGTATTCCAAGAAGTGAATTCCAAAGTACCTACATTTGCACATTCTTCACACATGACTGTGCTAGTTAATTCACCAATAAAGATCCGATCTATGAAGTTCATTTTCACACCTTCTTTTCCATATGCTGTAAAAATCATACTTTTTAACACTAAAAACATAGCAACCATCCAATAATGTTACATGCTATTGTCTGTTATTCAAAAGTAATCCAAATAAGGCAGACTTCTTTTATTATATTTAATAACATATTTTACTATATAATGATACAATGTCTCCTTCACTTTTTTTTTTTTTTTTTTTTTGGTAAGGGAAACACAACCATCAGCTACCAGAGTCTCTAAGAAATAAAGATTTTCTAAAACATAATAGAAAACTAAATAGAGCAATACCACTATTCCACATCTCAGCTGCTCCCATTAAACCTTGGAAAGCCTCTGTGTCTAACCTAGTAGCACACAGAAGAATAGGGAAGATTATGCTTTCAGGCTGCAGGTGCCAAGGTCATACTTATAAAAAAAAGTGATAAAAATAAGTAAACATAGCATAGACGAAGGAATTAACATGGGCATTCTTACAATTCACCTAAACACACATACACACATGCTCATAGTATTTTTTTTAATTAAAATTAGTTTGCTCAGGAAATATTTATAAATCAAAGGAAACTATGCCTGTGATTTGCTTTAAAATAATCTGGAGTTGGAAAAATAAATTAAACATAAAAAGTAGAGTCAGGCATGGTAGCACATTCCTGTCATCCTCAGGCTGAGGCTAGAATATCACAAGTTCAAGGCAAAAACAGACTACTTAGCAAGACCCTGTCTCAAAAAATAAAAAAGGGTTGGGGATTCAGAGGAATGGTATGGTGCTTTGTCTAGCATGTATGGGGCCCTGGATTCAATCCCACTACTGGAAAAAATGCTACTACTACTAAAGTAAACATAATAAGCCATGAGTGTAAAGCTGGATGATAGGTACAAGAGACTACATTATATTATTCTACTTCAACAAAAATTTGAAAATTTCCTTAGTAAACCATGAGGGAGAAAGCATATTAATAATTCTATTCACCCTTCTTTCAAACTTACCTTCTATCCTTTTTGGACCTCTACCAGGTTTCATACAAACAGTATTTATAATCATTTAAAACATTATCTGAAGCACTGAATAACATAGATTTATATTTAACATATATCAATAAATATTAATTACAATAACTTTAGAAATACTATGATAAATTAAGATATTTCATTAAGAAAAATTGTACAAGGAGTTAAAAATACAAAAAACAAAAATGGGAAGAAACTGAGCTATATACTACACATACACTAGATGGCACTATCTCAACACAAAAGAACAAGGAGCATGCTTAGGAAAAAATCTCAAATGTTTAATTAATGAGTCTTAGACGGTACAACAATTTATGTATATTTGTTTATAAATTATAGACATATAGCATGAACATTATAAAATTACAAAAGAAGTTTTAAAAAGAGGAAATAAATAAAACAAAATATTTTAAATGATTTTTAAAAATAGCCAACTACTTTATACTAACATTAGTTAGTATCACAAGGTAGATTACATACACTTAGGACTGGGTAAATTGTTCATATCACAGGATATAATCACACTGAAATATTTATAAGCTGGGAGCTTTGATTACAGTCATTGATTTTGCCCTGTATTTTGACTGATGAAGAACAAACACTAAGAATAGGCAAATTGTACTTATGTTTGACTTGTTAGTACTCTTAACAAATTATTTCTTTACAAGTTTTTGGAACAGTTAATCATTTTATCTAGATAAATTTAGATAATAACTGTAAATATATCTAAACACCAAAATGACACAATATGATAAATGTGAACTTCCAAGAGAAGATGCTGCTTTCCACATATTTTCAAGTCTCAGAAGGCCTAACATAGGTCGTCAGTGACAATCTGTATAAGTGAAATTAGTTTGTTTGCTTTTAGTTTTAAGAAACTCACAGGATACATTCTAAAATTTTCTATGTCCCATTATAGCATCTTGCCACCACTGGTGTAAGTACACCCTCCTTTTAAAGGTCTTAAGGTTAGAAAATTAGTTCATACAATGCTCTATTCTTTTTCCCAGGAGACGAATCTTAATATTGTAGAAAAAAGTTTTAACTTTAAAAGTCAACATACCTTTGACTTTTTTTCTAGTTTCTTCATCAGCCGTTTTAGTAGTTGGGTTGTTAAATGCTTTTAGAATGCTTGCTTGTATTCTCTGTAAAATAAAGTTAATAGAATCTTATGTAGTAATAATTAACTCAGAGCTCATTCTCTTTGACTTTCAAATAGCAAGGTACACTGTGGATCTCAATTCCTTAGTCTGAAAATAAAATATCTGAAATTTTTTTAAAGATAAAATATATTATTTTGTCCTTTTCTAAAATTCCATGAACACTTGAGTAACTCTCTAGTGACAAATTCTTCATAGAGTCAAAATTCCTATGTTTAGATTTTTCTCTTGAGCTTAAAGTATTTCTATCAGTTTAAAAAAGCAAGCAGAATGGAATAATACTTGGCTTTAAAGAAGAATGAATTTATGGCATTTGCCAGTAAATGGATAAAGGTGGAGAATATCATGCTAAGCAAAATAAGCAAATCCCCCCAAAAAACACAAATGCTGAATGTTTTCTCAGATATGCAGATGCTAACACACAATAAGGGAGGTGGGTGGCTAGGGGAAAATAGAGGTACTTTAGATTAGGCAGAGGGGAGTGAAGGGAGGGGAGAGGGTATGGAAGTAGGAAGGATAGTAGAATGAATTGGACATTATTACCCTATATGCAATATGACTACACAACCAGTATGATTCTATATCACATACAACCAGAAGAATGATAAGTCATACTCCATTTATGATGTGTCAAAATCCTTTTTACTGTCATGTATAACTAATTAGAATTAAAAAATGAAAATAAAAAGATTTTCCATTAGGAGGCTGAAATAAAACAGGCACAAAAAATCATTAAAAAATAAATCATAAATAATAAAGCAAGCAGCCTATTTTTCTTATCAGCTTAGAGTAAGTTTATTCTCTCTCCTCCTTTCTTTCTCCCTCTCCCTCTCTCTAAAATGACTTTCCTTAATCAGAACAGAAAAAAATAAAATAAAAATAACAAAGAGACCATCTGGAATTTCCTGTCTATGAAGAAAACCTTAAAATAGCTACCAAGTTGGTCACTATGATCTCCATATAGAATAAATAGGCATGTACATGCACATACAAACTCATATACATGCCTCAAGTCCAGAATATCAATATCCATAGAAAGAAGAATACCTCAAATCCTAATTATGATTCTATTTGAACTTAGTTGTCAGTAAATATCATACTATCAGAATTTCTTAGTAAATAATGAAGTTTGTATTTCTACATCTTATGCTTTAGGGAAAATCCAATCTCACAGAAAACTTTCAGAATGAAATAAACTACACATTCCAAGAATATAAACTTATTTAACTTAATAAATGATTACTTTCCACATTAGCTGTGTCCCTAATTAGTAGGATGAATTTCTTCTGTAATTCACATTCTGACAGTGGGATGAAAGCGAAGCTTACTGATTATCTTTCAAAATATATTTTCTATCTTGAGCACAGGTTTGGACATATAAAACCACTGTCTGAACTGGACTTCACAGTGTGAAAATGATAAATAATTCTGTTGTTAAAAAATATGTCAAAAAGAAACTAAACCCAAACTGCAGATTTCCTACAGAATAAAAACACTACATATTAGAATCCAACACATATCCATTGTTCAAAAGAAGTTTTACAACCTTAAATATTTAAATAAGTTTTAAAAAAATAAATAGTTGAAGCAATAAACTTATAGATTTAGAAAAAGGGCATCTAAAATAAATAAAAGTAGGAGGAAAGAGGTTTTTTTTAGTTGTTGATAGAACTTTATTTTTATTTGTTTATATGTGGTACTGAGAATGGAACCCAGTGCCTCACACATGTTAGGCAAGTGCTCTACCACTGAGCCACCACCCCAACCCCCAGGAAAGAGTTTTAATGAAAACAAAAATAGCAACTAAAAATAGAAAAAAATTAAGAAAAGAATCAAAAGTTAATTCTCTGGGTAGAAGATAAATAAACCCACTAGATAATCTTAAAGTATAGTGAAAGGAATAATATCATGCCTAAGAAAAAAGACAAACCACTTATAAGTTCAGGAAAATTTCAATAACTATAAGGGACTACTTTGTTCAATATCCAGGTTATTACATTTGAAAACTTAAATACAAATACCATAGATAATTTTCCAAGAAAATAACATTATTAAAATTAACCTCAGGAGAGACAGAAAATATTTCAACTATCATGGGGAGGAAAAAAAAAAAAAAGAACATTGTTTAATAGAACTTATAAAAAGCCATAGGCCCTAGTAATTTCACAGAGTAGCACCATCAAACCTATGTTTCAGGACACAGAAAAAGAGAAACTTCCAAATTATTTCCATAAAGCTTAATACAGGTAAAATAAACAAATCACACAAACTGCATACAACACAGACCAGTACCACTCATGAGAAAATTCTAAAAATGTCAGCAACAGAATAAAAACAGTAGCACATTAAAAAAACAAAAATACATTATAACCCAGTGTAAGATGCAGAAAATCTAATTTAAAAAAAATTTTTTTTTAGTTGTAGGTGAACAAATACCTTTAATTTATTTATTTAGTTTTATGTGGTGCTGAGGATCAAACCCAGTGCCTCATGCATGCTAGGCAAGTGTTCAGACACTGAGCTACAACCCCAGTCCCGGAAATCTATTAATATAAGCCATCATTGGGCTGGGGATGTGGCTCAAGTGGTAGCGCACTTGCCTGGCACGCGTGCGGCCCAGGTTCGATTCTCAGGACCACATACAAACAAAGATGTTGTGTCCACCGAAAACAAAACAAAAAAAAATATTAAATTCTCTCTCTCTCTCTCTCTCTCTCTCTCTCTCTCTCTCTCTCCCTGTTTTAAATATATATATACATACATATATATATATATATATATACACCATCATATTAATAGATTTAAGAAACAAAAAATTATAAGATCAAATCATTTGATATATTTTATTCACTAGAATCTACTATTGTAAGAGATTTAGTTGATACGGTTGGATAGAAAACACATCTTAGAAGTATAAAAATGATAAATGAAATAAAATTATTTTTATAGCATGGCTATCTGAAAAAGCTTAAAGAACCTATTGACATGAAAACTACTAAAATAAGAAAAAAATCAATAGTGGGTTATATGAAGTCAATAGCCTTCATGTAGACAAACAAAAAAACCAGAAAATATGGAAGAAAATACTCAATTTATAATAGCAACAAAAAGATAAAACATTACTCACAAACACAAAAGAAAACTTGATTAAATGGAAAGAAATACCATGTTCTTGGATAGGTCATACAGCATTATAAACATTCAAAACATACCAATCTATCCACCAAATTTATCCATCCACATATTTCCAGTAAAAACACCAACAGTTTGTCCTTCCTTCCTTCCTTCCTTTCTCTCTTTCTCTCTTTCTTTCTTTTTAAGGGGGAAAGGTAAAAGCAAAATTGATTCTAAACCAAATATGGAAAATAAACAGAACTGTAATGAAAACTCTAGTAGAGAGGGAGTACAGTGAAGGAAGATGGGCCTACTAGATTTACTTTTTTCCAGTTTTTATTGGCACACTGTAGTTGTACATAATGGTGGGACTGTTATATAATAGTACATGCACACAATATAATTTGGCCAATATCATTCCCCAGTGTTGTCCTTTTCCCTCTTCCCATCTCTCTCCTGTTCTCTTTCTCTTCTCTACTGATTTCCCTTCTATTTTCATGAGATTCTCCAACCCTTTCTTTTCCTACTAGATTTATTAAAATGCATTAAATCCTTAGTAATTAGCATTCAGACAAAAAGAACCAAAGGGAATTTCATAAAAAGTCCCAAATATATGTGTGAAAATTTGGTATAATTAGAGTATATGAAAAGTATATATTACAGAGTTCAGATATTTGTAGGATAGCTATAAGAACAAAGGAAATACCCACAGAACAGGATATATTTTAAACAGGTCAAAGGTTTAAATCTAAACAGTATGGAGATTCCTCAGAAAACTTGGAATGCAATCACTATTTGACCCTGTTAGCCCACTCTTCAGCATATACTCAAAGGACTTAAAATCATCCTACTATAGTGAAGTGGCCACATCAATAGCTAAGCTAAGAAACCAACCTAGGTGCCCTTCAACAGGTGAATGGATAAAGAAAATGTGGAACATATCCACAATGGAATATTACTCAACCATAAAGAAGAATGAAATTATGGCATTTGCTGGTAAATGGATGGAACTGGGAACTATCATGATAACTGAAATAAGCCAATCCCAAAAAACCAAAAGCTGAATGTTCTCTCCGATTGGCAGATGCTGATTCACAATGGGGGGAGGGCAGCAACAGGAAGAGTGGAGGTTTACCAGATTGGACAGTGGGGAGTGAGGGGAAGGGAAGAGGGAAAGACTGTAGAATGAACCCACATAATTTTTCTATGTTCATGTGAATACACACCAGTGTAACTCATCATGTACAACCACAAAAATGGGAAATTAATACTCCATGTCTATATGATATGTCATATGTAACTAAAAAGAACAAATAAATTTTTTTTAAAAAGGTTTAAATCTAAAAATGAACCATAAAAATATAAAAGACAGTGACATACCTTTGTAACTTTGAGTGGAAATAACCTTTTTAACTACTACAATATTCAGAAGCCACAAAGAGAATTTTAAAATTTAAAATTATTTTAAAAAAATTAAACTTAGAAAAGCCTACCATTTTATAAGCAAAATCAAAACAAAAATGACCAACTTGGAAACACATTCTCTCCCTAGACATAAAAAGCTCTTAGAAATCAGCAAAAACTGGGAGGGGGGGGGGGAAAGATGAAAAGAATGCATGCTAAAACTACCCAGAGATACCATTTATTCATCTATCAGACTGCCAAAACTTCAAAAGTTTGAGAATAATCTTTTGGTAAGGCTGTGCAGAAACAATCTCTTAAATGATACATTACTGTCAGAAATGGAAATTGTATAGTCTTTATCTACAGAGGACAAGTTGAGAATATCAAAATTATAAGTGCATATATCTATCAATAAAGGACTGGTTAAATGTGTTAAACTAAAAACTAAATAAAGAAACTTCCTATCT